CCATCCACCTTCTTGACCGTCTTGACCATCTTCTCCGTATTCCTTCAGACGAACTGATGGTGTAATCCAATAACTTGGCATTGTGTGTGTGTTGGTTTTGTGTGTTACTCGGGATAGGGTGCTGGGTGCTAGGTGAGTGCTAGGTGCTGCATGTTGCATGCTGGGTATTCGGGGCTTGATGTTGAGTGCTGGAGAGTTTATGTTGGGACAGTTGAAGTCATGTGGCCTAACCACAAAACACACACACACACACACACACACACACACACACACACACACACACACACACACACACACACACACACACACACACACACCCTGACACCAGATAAAATATATATAATTTAGGTTCTTGATTTTTTTACTGTGAGAAACATAGCTTTTTTTCATCCAGAACCGTCCAAAGTTGATTTATTTAACCTTGTATATGCTCGTACTGTAGAGAGGACTCGACCAGAGCTCATGGCGTGACAGCACCTTATAGCTAGAATGTGTGATGTTTTATGTTTCATTGATGTTATCATGTGTGATGTTTCATTGTTCAGCTCTTGTGTTAAAACTAATGAATATTTTTTTCAGCTTGCATAATAATATGGAAAGATAAGGGTTAGGAACTGTGTATGTGTGTGTAAATAGTTTCCTGTACGAAGAGTTTTTGGTTTTGAGAGACTTCGACTTACAATGGTCAAAATGTTGACGTTCGAGAACCAGTCCAAAATTTCAAGCTTCAAATGTTCGACGATGCCGCTGGATCGGCCCTCCAACTTCTTCAAGATGAAGCGGAAGCTGCGGCTCTCCGTGCCTGTAGAGGAGGGAAGGTGCCAGGAGCCACCGAGCACTGCCCTGATGGTACTTCCAGTGCCAACGGTGCCACCTTACCCCATTGAGATGTTTGAAACCGGCTGCAGGCTAGGCCACATCAACAGGGCCTTTAACTTAACCGATGAATTTCCTGTGGCGACCAACGCGAAGACCACTGCTTCAACAGAAGTCTTTCCTTCCCTTGAAGCTGTCCGAAGTGCCAGGCCGTCTCCGGAGGGGGCCGTTTACTCCGTCAGTGGCACTGGAGGGGAAGGTGAGGCCTTCGGTTATCATTACCAGTTCTCGAGGCCCTATGCGAACTACACTAGTGACGGGAGAATGTCCGGCAGTGGATCAGGACCTTGGTGTGTCGACGAGCGTGTGAAGGGCGACTCCTGTGTGAGCGGTGGTCAGGTAGCGAAGGATGGTTCACCACCAGGCTGCGGTTACCCGCCTGATAGTCACTCTCTGCCAAACAGTAGTTCAGTACTCAATGGCGCACAACTGAGCGGCTGCAGACTTGTAAATTGGGATCCACTATCAAACTGGAGTCCAAATGGTAGCCCACTTTTGAACGATGGCAGTATTTCGAACGATGGCTGTATTTCAAACGGTAGCTCGATATCTAAATCCGGCACTGTTTCGAATAATCGCCGGTCTCCAAGCGGCAGCTCGGCTTCGAACAGCAGCTTGCCTCCAAACGGCGGCCTGCCTCGGAACGGCGGCCTGCCTCCGAAAGGCGGCCTGCCTCCGAAAGGCGGCCTGCCTCCGAACGGCGGCCTGCCTCCGAACGGCGGCCTGCCTCCGAACAGCAGCCTGCCTCCAAACGACGGCTCGCCTCCGAGAGGAGGCCTGCCTCCAAATGGCGGATCCCTTCCGAACAACGGCACGCATCTGAACGGCAACCGGCTTCCGAACGGTGGTTTACCCCAGTATAGTAACTCAACCCGCTTCATTGGTCCAGTAGCTAACGGCGGACCACATGCAACTTCTGGGCCGTTACTCAGTGGACGTAGACCATACAGACTAAACTGGCGACCCCTGATGAAGAGGCGGGACCACCACACAAGCGGGAATAGATCCCGCCATAACGAAGGACCAGCACCTGCCCCAGGAGCCCTTCAGCACCCCAGTCACGGCAATCACTTACATCCGGAGGACAACAACTCACCGCCCGTGTCCACCAACACAGGTACGGCCATGCTTGAGGATCCTGCTGGCCGTCGCCACAGTCACGCCATAAATCACGTCCCTATTGCTCGTCCGTCAAACGAACCGTTAGCCGATCCTAGTGGAAATAGAGCTAGCTTAAACAGTGATGGTGGTTCGAGCCGTCTCGCCTACAGCAGCGCGACGGACACCAGAGCGAATAAGACGTTGGTTCCTATCTACAGCAAGGTATGCAAGCCTAAGAAGTCTCGCAACAAGCAAGGAGGTGAGGACAGGAGCCATAGTGCAGCGCGTGAGGACAGCAGAGCAGCCCTCACTCCCCTCAGGTCCTCAGACGGTCCCTTACCTCCCGCCAGACATCAAGACGTCCACTTCCGCAGCTGCGGTCCGCAGCCCATCGTGCCGCAGAAGATCGCTGAGGGCAGCAGGCCTCAGACCGCTGAAGGCAGCAGGTCTCAGACCGCTGAAGGCAGCAGGTCTCAGACCGCTGAAGGCATCAGGTCTCAGACCGCTGACGGCATCAATCCCCTCTACGAAGACCTCAAGGAATTCGAAGACGATCGAGCCGAGGAAAGACAGTATAATATCGAGGTCAAAATCGACTATTCTCGAGGCAGCAAATACCAAATGGAAACTCGACACGTAGTGAAGACTAAAGACAAGAACGGTGACAACGCAACAACTACACACAGCTCAGACATCGCCGCAACCGCTGTGGGCGTGAGCGGCACCAAGAGAGAGAAGGCGGTCGCCAGGAAGCTGCGGGAAGTAGGGGAGATGAAGTCCTTCAAGTTGGGCGTCATTCATGTGATACGACTCGGCAAATGGAGATTTGTGGCGCTCTGCTGCTGTGGGTACGTACTCCTCCCCCTCCTGATCCTCCTCCTGCTCCTGATCCTGATCCTCCTGATCCTGATCCTGATCCTCCTCCTGCTCCTGATCCTGATCCTCCTGATCCTCCTCCTGATCCTGATCCTCCTGATCCTCCTCCTGCTCCCCTTCTTCCTCCTCCCTCCCTCCCTTCTCAGTTATGCCCGTACATCTGGCTTTGCTCCTTCTAAATAATTCCTTAGCCCACATTCATACATTTGTTGTGAAGGCTTCTACCCAGAGTAATGTTTTAATTGTGTCTTTACTTGTTTCCCCAAGAGATGGCGTGTGCTGGCACTCAGCGCGGTATTTACTCTCTGCTCCTTGGTTTAATGTTTATTTCTGGAAAATTATTTCCATCTTCAAAGACGTATTTAAAAACAACTAAAGAATATCATTCGTTTTAGCTTTTCCTTCAGTAATTCTCGAGGTAATACTGCTGCAATTTGAGTATATTATAAGCCGATTTTTTTTATTGAATATATAATCCAGAACTTGGATTAAGGAGGATTCGAACCCACACACTGGGTACTCCCATGCCCACGTTCTAGACCGCTACACCACAACATGGTAAAAGCAATGCAACCTTTGATTCAACTGAATCCTCTGGGGTTTCAGTGGAAACTAAACATAATCTAACCGGACAAAACCAAACCGAATCTAAGCTACCTACTTAAACCTAACGTATGTTAATTTAATACAATCATATCTATCCTAACCTCACGTCCTAAGCTTAATTTAACCAAGTTAGGAGCATCAACCCCAAAAATAGAAGGAAAGATTAATTTTTTGTATACGAGACGATAAATCCATACAGATAAAACAGGAAAATACGAGGTAAAACAGAGACAATGATGAATTAAGATGATGGCAGGAAGAGAGAGAGAGAGAGAGAGAGAGAGAGAGAGAGAGAGAGAGAAACAAGAAAAAGTGAGAGAAGCGAGACATGAGCGAGGATAAGTGGTGGTAGGAGAATAAGAAACAGACCTCAAGGCGGTAGAAACAGGTCAAAAGCATAAATACAATAATAACATAAATAATCAGGGAATTAGGTGAACGAGATGATTTGGAGAATAAAGGAAATTAATCGATAACTCAAGATTTCAGATGGAGAGAATTGAGTTGAAGAATATTAAGAAAAAAAATTAAATTAGATTAATAGATGTAATAAGAATGATTGAGGTTGTGGGATTGACAAGAGAGGGTGTGTGTTGGGGGGGAGGGGATTGCGGGCCCCAGGCGCAGGGCATGTGCGCGCGCGCGCGTGAGAAGACTGTCTGGATCCTGGACTAAGTTCCTTCAGGCCTGGGAAGCCGTCCCCGACCCGACCCGACCCGTCCCGATCCGATCCGATCCGATCCGTCATGAGGCCCTCTGACTCGTGGATACTGGGTATTGGTAAATTCACTCCAGTCTTTCTACCGACCATTAGGAAAATAAACAAAAAGAAACGCTGCAATAGACACACGCACACGCGCACACACACACACACACACACACACACACACACACACACACACACACACACACACACACACACACACACACACACACACACACACATTGGAGTATATTGTGTATGCTTCCCCACGAGGTGGTGTTTTTTGGGAAGTCTTACACTTATTAATTCAGGTGATGGCTACAGGAAAGAGCTTTGTATTCCATTTATTCTATAAGTTACAGTTAGGTTACCCCCAGGAGTATGGGAGAGGGTGGGAGCCAGGGAGTGTTGGAGGTGGGAGGGGTGTGGGTGGCGTGGGAGAGTAGTGGGAGCTTTGAAGGTGGGGGGTAGGGAGGGATGGAGGAGGGTGTGGGGCAGGAGGGAAGGGTAATTTTGAGTGGGAGGGACTGACTGACAGGGTGGGAGGGAAGGAAAGAGGGAGAGGGCAGGTAATGATGGAATGGACCCTATTTTGTCATCTTTGTCGAATCTTCATTTTAAAGTTATGGACGGAAGAGGCTTCCACAACTAATTCTTTCAGCGCATTACTCTAGCTGACCACAGGTACGGCTTTTCATATTCTACAATGTTATTCTTCCACTTTATCACTGTTGTGCCTTTGTTACCCCCCCCCCTTTCCCCCTGGTGGCCAACAGGTAAGGTAAACATGTTCTTTGTTGACACCAACAGATGAAGTAAACTTGTTCCCTCTCAACAGGAACACTAGCCGCTACGTGCACCAGCCGGGACGCATCGAGGACTACGTTCCTGGGTACTCCTCGCTCTCCGAGAAGGAACTTAAGAAGGTGAGAAGACCGTAGAGAGAGAGAGAACAGGTAGTCAGTCATCTAGCTAAGCACTAAGAGTATAAAGTATGTGATATCAAGAGTAAAAATAAAACACAAATCTAGGGCATCCACTGGCTTTCCTATCTGCCAGGGAAAATGGGGAATGATCTGCCGGCGATGAATCACAATAACGTGGCTAAAGTAAGTTGACCAGACCACACACTAGAAGGTGAAGGGACGACAATGTTTCGGTCCGTCCTGGACCATTCTCAAGTCGATTGTGATCGACAATCGACTTGTGAATGGTCCAGGACGGACCGAAACGTCGTCGTCCCTTCACCTTCTAGTGTGTGGTCTGGTCAAGGGAAATGATCTGTGTGTAAAGGAAAAGTGGTGCTTCATGATTGTGTGTACTCGCCTAGCTGTATTTCCCTAGTTGTGCCTGCAGGGTCGAGCATCTGCTCTTCTGCGATGCTCGACCGAAGTTGATGGTGGATTAACACTAATACCGTGTTAATATCCACTATCTTATGTTATTAATATCACCGTATGGGCCTTTTGGCCTATAGGATGCAGCTCCTGTTTATATCCACCCAATCCCATTCATATATTTATCATTGTACCTAACTTCACTTCACCTCTCTCCTGCCTATATATATCCAAATCTACGTACTTGTAACTCAACCTTCTGAAAATGTATTATTAATACGAAAGTACTTAAGGAAATTCCTGTATATATATATATATATATATATATATATATATATATATATATATATATATATACATATATATATATATATATACATATATATATATATATATACATATATATATATATACATATATATATATATATATATATATATATATATATATATATATATATATATATATATATATATATATATATATATATATATATATATATATATATATGATGGTCACATGATGTCCAATGTCCTTTATTTTCACGTTGAATCTGGAAGTTTTTACAGGTGAAAGTAAGTACTTAAAAGATTTATGTTCAATAGTGCTAATTTGTAAAAAAATATATATATACATTTTGTTTGATGTCCTGTTGAGAAATGGCCGGCCGTCAGCGCTCCCCTTGATCCTCAGGAAGAATTACCACATGCTACCCCCTGGTGCTTAGGAAGATTTACCACATGTTATTTCACTGGAAGGGAGGCGTGATGTGGCGACCAATTCTCACCCACATGTTTTGCTAACATGTCAGCAGTAGACTGTGTTACCCAGCCCGTCCTCCCAAGGTTTCCCATCATCAAAAACTGTCGTATTAATGTATCCCCTTATCCTAACCTACCAGAGGACAGAAAACGGGACAGAATGTCAGTTTCGCGGGCTTTTTACCCTTTTCGAGTTCGACTATTTTTGGCCTTTATTAGAATGTACGTCAAAATGCGACGTTCTATATTAGGAGGACGGGTTTGGCGTGGTAGTTGTGGCATGTTGGTGGTGTCGGGGGGAACTGTGACTGGCGAATGGCTTAGACTGTGTGTTGCAAGTAGCTGTAGCGCCGTGTACTTCAGCCTCTGCGAGGTCTACGAGAAGCAGCATGCGTCCAACGACTGTAAAAGCCAACGACCACAATAGCCAACGACTACAATAGCCAACGACCACAATGTTAGACGACCACAATAGCCCGACGACCACAGTGCCCAACGACCACAATAGCCAACGACCACAATAGCCCGACGACCACAATAGCCCGACGACCACAATAGCCCGACGACCACAATAGCCCGACGACCACAATAGCCAACGACCACAATAGCCAACGACCACAATAGCCAACGACCACAATAGCCAACGACTACAATAGCCAACGACCACAATAGCCAACGACCACAATAGCCAACGACCACAATAGCCAACGACTACAATAGCCAACGACTACAATAGCCAACGACCACAATAGCCAACGACTACAATAGCCAACGACCACAATAGCCAACGACTACAATAGCCAACGACCACAATAGCCAACGACTACAATAGCCAACGACCACAATGTTAGACGACCACAATAGCCTGACGACCAGTGCCCAACGACCACAATAGCCCGACGACCACAATAGCCCGACGACCACAATAGCCAACGACCACAATAGCCAACGACCACAATAGCGAACGACCACAATAGCCAACGACCACAATAGCCAACGACCACAATAGCCAACGACTACAATAGCCAACGACCACAATAGCCAACGACTACAATAGCCAACGACCACAATAGCCAACGACTACAATAGCCAACGACCACAATGTTAGACGACCACAATAGCCCGACGACCACAGTGCCCAACGACCACAATAGCCAACGACCACAATAGCCCGACGACCACAATAGCCCGACGACCACAGTGCCCAACGACCAGCATCATCTCTAGCGATGGATGACGTACCACTGACCAATTCAGAGTTTTGCTTCTCCATTTTAACATGCAATTACTTTGACATTCAACCAGTCTCTTGACCACCGTGTGTAATGACCACGGAGGGTAATGACTACTGCGTGCAGTGATTACGTCGATGACAACTGTGTATAATGAGCGATTGTGTTGATCTTCGACCACTGTATTCAGGAGTTACTTTGATGGACGCTTATTGGGGCCAGGGATTACTTTGATATACTACCAGTGTAACGATTACTTTGTCGCATGATTACTGTTCAACGATAATCTGGATGCTCAACTGTGACGCATGGCACTGCCAGATATTAACGTGACGCATGGCACTGCCAGGTATTAATGTGACGCATGGCTACTGTCTTCACGACGACTCTGACGCATACATCTGGCTGTGTTGGGGTCCTTCACCTAATAGGGAGAAGCCTCGTTGGAATAGGACGAGCTTTCATGATCTGTCTTGAGAACCTAATGTGGAAACAGTGCCCCCCCCCCCCCCTCACTCACTCACTCACTCACTCACTCACTCACTCACTCACTCACTCACACACACACACACACACACACACACACACACACACACACACACACACACACACTTACACTTACACTTACACTTTTCAAGGCGTAGATATACCTTTAACGTTGTCAACAGGCCATAAATAGTTTGTGACGGTTAATAGTAATGATCGGGGTATTGTTTGACCTTAGGAGGGGGAGAGGAGGGGAAGGGAGGGAGGGAGTTTCACCAGAAGCTTCCCTCCCACCATTCCCTCCCTCCCACCCCCTCCCTCCCCCCACAAACACGACCATCCCACATACGCTAATGTTGGTATTCACGATCTTCTCTTCTGTTCCATGTACGCCCAGAACCCGGAGGCTGACGTTAAACTAGAGGTTGGTGGTGTTTATACACACTTTCTTGTTTTTAATCTCTTCTCGATGACTTGTTTAAGATAATAAAATATATATCACCTCGGGGACTGACTTTTGGGTTTTGTCTTTCACCAAACAACTCTTTTTTTTGATACTTTAACTGTAGTTTAAAAGTAGTTTTCGAAGCCTTCTATTTTCTGTACATTTGCTGAACTAGTGTCAATGTTCTGGTAGATGTTTACGTTAGTGCATCGTTTTGAACTTATTAGGATTACTATTACAAACTTGAAGTAGTATAAGTCTGTTAATTTGTCATTGTTGTTTCCCCTTTGTTTTAAATTGTATGAAAACATGTGCCTCTAGTAATTTGTAAGTAAAGGCTGTTTACGTCAGTTTATCTCCAGCCATTTAGTCTTAGTCATTATGTGTCTGTTGGTAATTATGTTAATTCATTCTTAATATTAAAACCCGCACTTGTGTATTTGTGAATTGTACGTGACAAAGAGTCTTTCTTTGTCTTACACAAAGTCTTTCGCCCAGCCACTTGGGATGGACGGGAGAGCGACGGTCTGGCTACAGGCAGGTCGGCGTTCAATCCCCAACCGTCCAAGTGGTTAGGTACGATTCCATTCCACCGCCGTCTCATCCCAAATCCTTATCCTCCTCCCCCCCCCCTCCCTTTCCCAGTGCTATATAGTCGTAATAGCCTGGCGCCTTTTTCCTAATAGTTCCCTTCCCTTCTCCTGATTGCTTTGTCAAGGTCTGAGTGTATGCTTAGGACGAGACTTGCAACTCAACGACTTATACCTTGATGTAAGTCGATGTTTTGTCAAGGTCTTGAGTATGTTGTTATGTTAGTCTCGTCCTTACCACATACTCAAGACCTTAACGAAGGCCTCAGAAGAAGAGTGCAAAAGACTTGGTGTAAATCTTGACATAAAATTCGCAAATACACATATGTGTGTTTTCTTTATCCTCTATTATTATGTCTGTGAGAAGACATTAGCATTACTGGACTAACCTTAATGTTGTCAGAACTCCATGTTTCAGCTTGGCAAGGTCAGGTCCTCCCTAACTCCCCCGCACTAACACCAACGCCCACCCCTTAGTGTGTGCCCCTTAGGTCGCCCTTAAGGTCCGCCTCTAGGTCACCCTTAAGGTCCGCAGCCCGCCACATTATAATACTAACTCTCTTGACTATTCTCTTTCAGTCCCACTCACAGGAGCCGCCGCCCGTCTCCGTCAATCATAGGTTCGGGTCACAGAAGATGTCCATGACCCAGTAAGTATAGAGGCGTGTGTGTGTGTGTGTGTGTGCGTGCGCCTGAACGTGTGCGTGAGAGACTGTAAGCGTTGTTACAGGAGGTTGTGAGGTTCCGTCTTCCATGTAATCTCCTATAGCACACGTTAAAGACGCGTCAGTTTTATTGTTTTCAGAACAAGCAAATCATATATTGTCCCATTAAGTTGTTGTTTTAGATTCAGCTACTGGGAACAAAGTGTTCTAAGTAGCACGGGCTATGGTGAGCCCGTAGTGGACTTACCTGGCACAGGAGCGGGACTGTAACTTCCACCAAGTCAATTTTCTATTTCATATAAACAAGTAACATTTTGTTTCCCCTGGAATCGCAAAATACAGTAACCCAATGATCCAGTCAAGTAGTGGAAAAGTGTATAAACATTAAGCTTGTCTTCCTCAAATCTGTTCCTGAATTTTGTTCATAAAATCAATTTTGAGGTGTAACGGAATCACATTTTCCTCGATCAGTTCCTCAAGTGTCGTATCTTATCAGAGGAAACACCAGACCCATGTTACATTCCTGTCGTATACCTGTCGATAATTCCGAGGATCAATGTCCCCGCGGTCCTATCGCTTGACCAGTTTTCCTGGTTGGAGGTCTGGCATACCAGACAGGTATGCCAGATCTCCATACCTGTCAAGGCTGTTTGGCTGCCGCCTCAAACAGCTTGTATGTCACACAGACGAAAATAAGAATTAGATTTAACGAACTACTTTTCATTATTTAAGTAACATACGGTCTTATATTCACTAAAACAACTCCCCCATCCCCCTCTTCCGCTTCACAATAAATAAATAAAATATTCTCAGCAAATAGAATATTTTATACATTCCTGTATACATGCTTTAAAATGTAGTTAATTGTTACAAATTTTATTTTCTGTAGATGGGAAATGTTAAGTGTAATTTCTTGCCTTTGTCACACAGTGCTCTGAAAGAATCCGGATACGAGAGCGACAGTACCTTAGTCTTCAGGAAGCGAGAGGACGCCCGCCGTCAGATACCCGACCCCAGGAAGACCAGCCAGGTCTACCGTCAGGTGAGTCTTGACGACTTGTGGGGTGGTGGTCGTACTATAGCACCTCCCGCAGCAAGGGCACGGTGACCCCCTGTCTGCCCCAGGACCGGGGCACTCGGGGCCGTAGGTCGAATGAGAATATACTTCTTTTTAGTCAGGATATTTGGGAATCTCTCGAGGCGGCGGGCATGAGACTATACAGCGTAAACTAGTTTACATCAAATAGGGAAACTTAATACAGTCGATGTAGCCCAAGTTGAACCACGCCGCCAACAGTAAACACACGACCTTTTGACTATTACAAACATTGTCTATGACATGATTTTCCCCTGTATGGTCAAAAAAACAAAATAGTAAGCTTACGAGTCACTGACGTGATGTTCTTTCCTCCCACAGATCCAACGAGGAGGTGACATACCCTTCACAGGACTCCAGAAAGCCAACCCGCCCAGGCCCAGAGGTACAGCGAGTCTTTCTTTCTCTCTCTCTCTCTCTCTCTCTGTTGAGCCTCTTGGCTCTGCTGCTAGCACAAAGTCTGTTTTGATATTATTTTGAGTTTTATTTTGGTTTTCACTTTGAGAGAAACCTAAGTGGATACTCAGTCTGTATACCAAATTATGTTACTTGTGCTCATTACATAATTTGCTGGTGTTTGGTAATTAGAGGAAGTTAATAGGCAGCACTATAGCTTGCCAACTACGAGTATCCAGCTTGGTACTTTGTAAACACCTTGTACTGTTTGTGTGATTTTTGTTTTAAAGAGATATTGGAACATCTTCACAATTTGTTTACATTATTATGCCCAGCTATGTGTCCAGCCTCAGTAGTCAACCACACGAGCAATGTTGTGTAATGCTCACACACTTGTCCCCTGTGCTCACGACTGTGTGGATATGTCCTCTTACTGCTGCTCTAACGCCTCCTGGCACCATTTTGGTCATGGCTGCTGTCTTGGGGGAAGTGGGGGGGGAAAGAGAGGATGTCGCATGTCTGAAATAGCACTCTTCTATGTGGATGCATGTCCGGCACTGAATCACCTCTAGTGGTGCATGTCCGGCTTAGGCATTTTACCTCTGGGAGTGCATGTCCGGCTTGGTGTTTCGCCTCTTGGGTGCATGTCCGGCTTGCCACTGCATATGCAACTCTTGGGGGGATGCATTTTCAGACTTGGATATCAACTCTTGCGGTGAATGCTGGGTCTTGACCTGCAGTTCTAGGAGTGTCTTATATAGCCATGGGGCTCATTCCGGACAGTGAGCACACCATTCATTACACATTCTACCCTCCAAGTGAACGCCGCAGGGGGCACACTTCCAAGGGAAAGCCCAAGGAGGTACACCTCCAAGGCAACGCACCAGGGGACTTACCTCAAAGAGAACTACTCAAGGGGTATGCCACCAAGAGAACGCCCGCAGCTGGGGCGCACCTCCAAGAGAGTTCCCCTGGAGGTACACCTCCCTCAGAACACCCTGGGAGGTATACCTCAAGAAAACGTCTCTACAGGGTACACCTCCAAGAGAAATACCCTAGGGGTACACCTCAATGGAAACTCCCTATGGGAGCACACTTCCACAGGTACATCTTTTTAAAAGTACACTTAAAGGAGGCACTTTCATTAGTAAACTCTCGACAGTTACTTAAACTGGAGTACACCTCGCAGGAATACAACCCAAAATGGAATGCGCTGTGTGGAATACCTCCAGGGGCCGGGGAGGGGGGTGGTGTTGCTTTCAAGAATACAAGACTACGCCTCGCGAGGTACACTGTTCCTTCTTCACTTCTTAAAGCCATGATCACATTTGGATTCCCTTACCACCAGTTTTGGTGTTGGATTTATGTTTGGATTTAATGTTCCTTCTTGTTTATGTCTTTTTGTGTGTTTATGTATTAGCAAGATTACGTTTTTGGACATTGTTCACCTCAGTTAAAATAAGTAGATTTATTTTTTAAGTTTATTGAGAAATGATGTTGCTTGGTGGATATGTCGACTGATAGTACACACACCTAGTTGTGCTTGTTGGGGGGGTTGAGCTTCGGCTCTTTGGTCCCGCCTCTCAATTGTATAATGGTGGTGCTGACACCTGTGCATGTTTGTAGAATCTCAATGTATTTTCAAACTCCTTCCACTTTTGAAGGTAGTTAAGGTAGTTATTATGATTTTTTCTATAGTTAGCACAGTAGTTAGTGTGTGTGTCTCCACTCCCCCAGTCCCCACCCAATCTTCTCTCCACTCCCCCAGTCCCCACCCAATCTTCTCTCCACTCCCCCAGTCCCTACCCAATCTGCCTACACTGCCACTCATCACATTCTCCTGCCTATCTACCTATCCTATGCCCAATTTCCCGGCCAGTCCGCCCTCCTATCCTATAATCCTCTCCTATCCTACACTCTTACCCCCCCTATATTACTTGGTTTTATGTCCTATTTTTCTGCCTTGCTAAAGTAATGTGTAAACGCTACCCACATTTACTTCCACTATCTACCCAATTTCACATTTATCTACCCCTTTACTCAATTCCACATTTATCTATCTACTATCTATTTACTTCCCTTTAGCAAGATGGTTACATGTAATATCCTGAGGTTGACAAGTTGTGTGCACGGGACTCCTCTCCCGTGCACGCCTTCACTCGTCTCCTGTCCTCCCGTGCACGCCTTCACTCGTGTTCTTCCTGTCCGCAATGTTGACTGTCCTTCATCTGTCTATCCAAGTTATCAGTGCTCCTCTCCACCTGTCTGTTCACGTCAAATGTTCTCTACTGCATCTGTCTGTCCTCGTGGCCAGTTCTCCTTTGCACCTGTATGTCTTTGTTAACAGTATTCTCCTACCTCTGTCTGTCCTCTATACGCCTGTCTTCGTCCTTTACACCTGCCTCCCTCCCCCTATACCTGCCTCCCTCCCCCTACACCTGCCTCCCTCCCCCTACACCTGCCTCCCTCCCCCTACACCTGCCTCCCTCCCCCTACACCTGCCTCCCTCCCCCTACACCTGCCTCCCTCCCCCTACACCTGCCTCCCTCCCCCTACACCTGCCTCCCTCCCCCTACACCTGCCTCACCGTCTACACTTGCCACCCTCCCCTACACCTGCCTCCCCCCCTACACCTGCCTCACCGTCTACACTTGCCTCCCTCCCCTACACCTGCCTCCCCCCTACACCTGCCTTCCCCCCCCTACACCTGCCTTCCCCCCCTACACCTGCCTCCCCCTACACCTGCCTCCCCCCTACACCTGCCTCACCGTCTACAGTTGCCTCCCTCCCCTACACCTGCCTCCCCCCCTACACCTGCCTCACCGTCTACACTTGGCTCCCTCCTCCTACACCTGCCTCCTTCCCCCTACACCTGCCTCACCGTCTACAGTTGCCTCCCTCCCCTACACCTGCCTCCCCCCTACACCTGCCTCACCGTCTACACTTGGCTCCCTCCTCCTACACCTGCCTCCTTCCCCCTACACCTGCCTCACCGTCTACACTTGCCTCCCTCCCCTACACCTGCCTCACCGTCTACACTTGGCTCCCTCCTACACCTGCCTCCTTCCCCCTACACCTGCCTCACCCCTTTACGCCTTCCTAACCCTAGTTCCTGCCTCACCCCTCTTCCCCACCTCACGCCCTGCACCCCGTACACCACCTGCCTCTCCTGCTCCAACCTCACCCCAAAGAGCATGCACTCTTGTACCCAGCGACGGAAGTTGTCCAGCTGAGCCGCCTGTACATACACTTGTCACCAGAAGCATCATTATACCCTGCACCTGTATAATTATTATTTGTGCACGAAGAAGTATTACGCCGTACAAGGCTGCACCTGAGGAATGCCTCGTAGAAGATTTGATCCACAGCTTCATGGCCAAGGCCCTTCCCGAGCACCGCTGAGGTTCTTGTTAACTTCCCTCCTCTGGTTGTTGGCTTCGGGTTCAACGAGCACGGCATCGTAGAAGTTCCGCCCACATTGAGGGTTCACTGCACGATAATGAGATCGGTAATTGATTTTCACCAACTTCATGATGCCCTTCTTGCAGACGATTACTACGTGGTGTACTCAGACCTTGACCTGGGTCTTCACCACCCGTCTCTCTCCGACCTCACTCCCTCCTGCCGTCTCGCCAGAACCATGTCACCGCCACCCAAACCCCCGGTGCCTACCTTTGCGGACAGAAAGAGGGCAGCCCAGTCAAAGGTAGTGCCGGCACCGTCTCCCCCTCGTCGAATTTCCTCAAAGTGGCACCCATCGCTAATCAAAAGCAATAAAGATCAACCACCAGTTCCTTCGGCTCGTTCTACATCTGCAGAACGAGTGCGGGAAACTCGTGCCCTATATTCTTCTTGGCATCGGGAGAAAGTAGCACGCTCAAGGGAGAAGCTTGGGGCATCTCCTGCAAGAACTAGTTCCATAGGGAGGTCACTTTCAGCTGCAAAACAGACTCAAGAAGCCAGGGAAAACTTTCTCAAGGGACGTCGCACCGTGTCCGAATCACGGTTCACCATTGAGGACCGGGAGAACTCTCCACCTCGTCGCTCACCATCGTCATCCAAGCCTACCTCACCTACCAGGCAGTCTGAGATTCGCGAGAAATTGCAATCTAGATCTCCCCAGAGAGATGGACTTTATGATAAAGTTTGGGCAAGCAAACATGAGGTTCAGGACCATGCGTCTATTCCCAGCCGAGGCCATAATCGATCACTTAGCGCTGATTCCACCAGGAAGTGGTCCAACACCTCGGCGGAAAGTGGTCGTTGCAGTGTCATGAGGCACACAGTCAGTAGCATGAACAAAATTAAACGACCATCACTTCAGCATAACCAGACAGAGAGTGTTTGTCCTGGTCCTCGTAGTAGCAGTGCTGAGAGCAACTACAGAAGGCGACGAAGTGGTTGTTTATCTCCTGAACCACAAATATCGAGTCGAAAGTCTCCTGTTAGCAGAAAAGATAGCCGCTATCGAGGTTCACCATACTCCGATGTTTCCACTGAGGTTTCTGATGACAAAAAGTTGAAACAGAGTGAGAGTTTTGACACAACACAGAGTAATGAGACAGGCTACTCAAGCATGCTTGACCTTTCTACCTCACCAACACCTGAAAAGAAGATGCCCGAGGACCGTGAGCGCCAACAGAGAAAAGCATCCGAGACACAGTCACGACCTCACTCCACCCCAGTTCGTCGTTCCCGTATTTCCACCTCTTTCCATGATCAGCGGAACAAATGGGAAGCCTTGACTAGAGGAGAGTCTGTAGGAGGACGCCAGTCGCGTACCCCATCACGAAGCACTTCGCCTCTGCGTTCTCTGCAGCTGGTTCGGCAAGTGAGTAGCAGTTTCAGGGACATTCCTGTTGAGGTTTGGTCTGCTGGGTCGAGACGCAGTAGGAGTCTGGATGTGCTGACACCGTCGCCCCACTCCCATCCTCATCGTTACCGGCAGTATATTTTAGAACTGAGGAATGCTGCACCCCGTAATGCTCGAATCTCACAACTTCGACGTCTGTTTACATCTCTTGATAGAGTCCACCGCCTTGAGCGATCTGTGAGTAGTGTAGAACTCTCGGCTGCACAAAACCGTGCCTATGAGATCATAGACTTCGAGACATGGAAGGGCATGCGGGAGAAAGAGCGAAAGGCTCTTGAATACAGCGTGTTGCTTAAAGAGCTCAATGTTGCACAAAAGGAACGCGAGTTCTTATACAAGGTGACTCCAGACAGGAAGTGGTCTGGTGACTGCAGATTGCGAGGACGTGACGTAAGTGTTCCAGAGCTCTGCGAGAAATTCTCCACTACTTCAGACAATACCTCAGAGATTACGCAGAAGCGCCGACGCGAGCTGGATAACAACAAGGACACATATCGGGGTCTGTGGCGAGGCTCTTCAGTGCGTGATCTCTCACAAATGTATCAGAGTCCGGAACGTCATCGCAGCAGCAGCAGGCGTGGCTCTAGTCTGAGTCTTTCACGCGAAGATTCAAGTATGAGAGCCCGTGGCTTGTGGACCAGCCTCAGCCTAGAGCAAGTAAACGCCTTCCGTGATCACCTCACTGAGATCTATGGTTCAATGCAGAGTATTCGCTCATGGCGAGAAAGGAAACAGATGAGCAGTGAGCGAGCACAAACCAGGAGCCAGCGGGAGTTATCAAAATATAATGTGGATGTGGCAGAGACCGGACGTGCACTCGCCGACAAGTTACGCACTCTCCATGTTCGTCCTCCAGCTGAACCATCCCAGAGGTCCCATACTAGGACTGTATCTCCTCCCAGGCCTAAGAAAGCCAGCAGCCTCAACCAAATTGAAGACGAGCGACGCCAGCTGTCCAAACAGCTGTCAATTGAGCTCCAGGAAAAGGTGCTAGAGCAGAGGTCGGGCCGTGGCCTTCAGACAGCCTCAAGAGCATTAGATAGTTTGCAAGTTCCTGATGTGTCTTTGTCTGTCAGCCCAGAAAGTCTGTCACGGTCATCACCGCGCACTTGCTACTCACTAGACATCTCTGATTCCTCTGAACCAAATTCCTTGAATTCTGGTGATCAGTTCCTTCTTGTGGTGCAAAAGCCTGGTCGATCTGGTCGCAGCCAAAGCCTTCCACCTGAGCCTGTCAGTGACCCAGAGACAAGTGATTCTGAGGTATCAGTCAGAACAGTCGTTCATAAGGACGTTGCAGGGAAGGTGAAATTTTTTGAGAAGCGGGCACGTCGCAATTCTAGGTCCTCTGAGCGCCATTCTTCACGAGGCAGTCGTCTAAATATTGATGAAGTTCCTCATTATGCTACGCTGCCATCTCGCTTGAAACAGCAGTCTCAAAGCAAACTATTATCACCCAACTACCTGCCAGAAAGATCTGTTTCATCTGTGAACTTAACCAGTAAGGCAGATGTTGCATCTCAAGTCTGGAAAATCTATGACAAGACTAATCCTCTGAGTGGCTCGTCAGTGCAGCGGCTTGCTGACCCATCTCGAGAAAGAAAAGATGGAGATCCTACATCCCGTTCCCGGTCATATCTCCACCATGTTAAGACTGGTGATGTTAGCCGCCTGAGGAGTCGCTATGAAAGTCCTGAGGAAGCTCGAAGGCGGGCCAAGTCCCTACCAGATGTGAATGGTCCTCTATCACGCGTGACTCCCACAGGAAAGACATTTGTTCGAGGCCAGGAGGCAGGCGATGTGCAGTATATGAGAGCTAAATATGAGACACCGAGACGGTCTCGTAGCCCCGAGCGCTGGCAACCCACCCGTGATGAATATTTACCTAAATCTAAATTGACCTCAACTCTTCAGTCTTTAGCTGCTCGTTCCCCTGTCTTCAGTGAGCCCAACACAATTGAGAGGCTAGCTCGGCGGGACTCTGTAGAGAAAGCTGTACTCCGAAGAGTGTACACTGGAAATGTTGAAGCCTCAGTTGACCGTCTAGAGAACAAAAGGTTTGACTCAGGATCAGGACTTTCCCTCATTGGCCAGATGTACACCTCGGCTCCTTCTGTCAACGAGCTAGCAACGATGGCGCCTCTGGTGCCACCACGGCCGCCGCCACCACTCATGGGACCACAGAAGCCTCAGCGCCTGGCTCGCAGCAACCCACAACCTCTGTTGACCTCAACACCCACTCCCTCGCCTGGGGATGCCCGTGCTGTACACAAACAGCGGGCTTTACAAGTACAAGAACCAATTTGTCCCCCACCCATTGCTGTCCACCCACCTCCAGGCATGTCTGCTACGTTTTCGCGTCCCTTTACCCACTATAACGCCGACGCTCACCGTCCAAAGTCCCGCTACATCCCACCTGAATCTTACGGCACTTCTACTGCCAAGTCCTACGGCGAGGCTCATGGGTCGTCCTGGACTCAGTCTCTGGAGCGACCCCAGCGTGTGACCCGCGCCATGACGCACACCGCCTCGTCCCCAGCCTCCCAGCATAGCACCCACTGCTACACCCTTCGTCACCAAGTCCATTCCCGAGCCCACCACCATCATCATCAACAACAACCACCACCACTACCCAAAAGCTCTCCTGCCGACCATCACACATACGCTCAACCATACTCCTACTCCCACACCTGCTCCCAACCCATACGCCCTCACCACCACCACTCCCACTACCAGTCCCTCAGCCAAGGGCGGGAGCAGAGCTACAGCAGCAAGGCCGTCTCCTGGAAAGGTGCTAGAGTTATTTATTTCATGGCTTAAGTCTGGAATGCCTTGAATCGTTTCCGTCTTGGTGGTGGTCTTCAGACTTTTCATCCCGGGGTCTTTTGATCGCCATTTCGTAACTAACTTCTTTATTAACGACTAGAGTACTCGTCTTTAGTACATTCTGTAGGAGTCGTTTACCAGTCTTATTTTTCCTGCTGTTTATTTAGCCTTATTTTAAGTAAGAAGTTTTTCTTAGACTTTTCTATCTCTTAGATACCTGTTCCTCGTACCCTGTACAGTAGGTCCATCATCTTCAAATGGAAGTCTGAATCTACGTCTTTCACCCATAATTTTCCCCTTAAAAAATACAATAAGGGGAATCTATAACATTAAGATCATTTGCATGCTAAATTCTGTCTTTTAAGTTAAGATTATTGTGGATTTAATTTTATTCTGTTGTAAACAAAATAATTTAAATGTGTTTAGTTAATTTCAGTTATTAGGTGTCAATATATTTGCGTTTTATGTATATGTTGGTAGTATTTTTTTCAATTATTTTCACTCTTAATTTTCCTTATTTCCTTTCACTCTCTTTGTCATTCTCCTGTCACTACTCAAGCAGAGGTACAGCCCTCACATTCATAGTCTCCTGCGAGTGTAAACTCTCTGGTTTATTGTCACATTTACACCCGTCTCTTTCATGTCTTTTATCCCCGACCGTCTAAGTGGTTGGGCACCATTCCTTTCCCCCGTCCCATCCCAAATCATTATCTTGACCCCTTTCGAGTGCTATATATAGTCGTAATGGCTTGGTGCTTTATCCTGATAGCTCTCCCCATCCCTTCCTTCATGTCTTGCCAGCCATACATTTCCCTTTGTCGCCCCTTAGATCATCCCCTTATCTCGCCACATTAGCTACTATTTCCTCACTTTACCCCCTACCTCCCCGCCCCTTATCTCGCGAAAGGGGGGGGAATATAAGAGGCCAGACTGTTATCTTTCTCCTTCTCCCCGATATGTCGCTCTCTTCCATCTTTGTTTTATCATTCCTGGTTTTGTCTCCTTGTTATTCTTTACCATCCTGCGCTTCCTCGTTCTATGTCGTCCCGGCCTTCCTGTCGTTCTTCTCACCCCTGTCCTTGTTACGTATTTATTTAATGCTTTATTCACTTTATATCTGCTTTCATTCCCCATTTCCACCCTTTATTTCGCTGCTCTTAGCGCCCCTGTTTTATCCCTTCCCTTTATCACCCTTTATTTCACCTCCTTAGCACCACGTTTTTGTCACCCCTGGTCTTCTTGTCACACTAAATAATTCTTTGTTTGTGAAACCCTCATCTTGCCTCAATACCACCCCTTGTTTTCTCCCCCCTGTATCACCCTTTATCTTTCCACGTTATCAGCCCTTATCTTGCCCCTTTGTCACCCCTTACCGTGTCGTCGTCTTGGGCAGAGCCGGTAGTGGGTCCCCTGCCATTCCCCTCCCTGTACGGGGGTCGCCAGGAGCCACCTGAACGCCCAGGTAAACTATACCAACTCTTGACACTCTTGGTTTACCTTTGCAACGTTTGGGGGCGGGGCACACTGATCTGTAACGTGACTGGTTTGATCTGCAACATGGCAGCATTGATCTGCAACAAATCAGTATGACAAAGGCATTTTAGGATTAGTATAATCACAGAAGATAGCTATCGTGATCTTCAATCCCGTTCAATACGAACCTCTGTGTTGTCGCACGTGACGTAAAAAATGGCTTAGTCTAATAACAACTAACCAGTATACGAATCGTCGCTGGCGTGTCCTCTGGTCATACGTAATAACTTCTTGGTGTGTGTGTGTTATATATATATATAATATATATATATATATATATATATATATATATATATATATATATATATATATATATATATATATATATATATATATATATATATATATATATATATATATATATATATATATATATATATATATATATATATATATATATATTTGCATGTGTGGAGGGGGGTACAAGTGCTTGTAATTATACAAGACAGACTGGGACATGTTGCAGATCGCCATCTTGCGGCCTGTGTAAATATTGGGTTGCAAGTGTTGCCAGTATTGAGTTGCAACCTGGCTATGAATAACATCCTTTTCCTATTCCCATTGTATACTTTTCGTAATTCTTGACATCCTTCTCCTACCCATTAACACTGCCATTTGTCTGTCTGTCGCATATAACGCCTGTACATAAAATTGCCGGGAATTAACCCTTTCACTTGCAACCTTTCTTCTTCCTAGAAAATACATATTAAGGACTTATATATATACTATATATATATATATATATATATATATATATATATATATATATATATATATATATATATATATATATATATATATATATATATATATATATATATATATATAAAATCCCTTCTGCCTTTTATGTTATTGCGTTGGTGAACGGGGTTACGCTGTTGTTGCCCACTTCTCATGCTTCCTAGGAAAGTGTAAACAATTAATCCTATTGCTTGCGAACATATTATTCGTGTACGATACCTGTCGCCTGTAGCTTCAGACAATCATTAATTGTTTCCGAGAACACTGCTGAACCTGTCATATTTTCGCCAGGTTTACGTCAATTTTTTGTGTTAAAATTAATGAAGATAGTTTAGTTTTTAATTGTATGCATTCAACAATATATACAAGAACTCTAACTTGTAGAGATTCCGGGAACCAACGACCCCGCGGCCATCGAGTCAAAGCTTTAGTGACATCTACTTGTACCTCGAATCAAAGCTTTAGTTAAACACATGCGTAAGGAATCGACTTGAGAATGGTCCAGGACGGACCGAAAAGTCGTCAATTAACTTTCTAGTGTGTGGTTTGGTCAACATATTTCAGCCACGTTATTATAACTCCTCTGCACATGCGTAAGGAAAGCGGGTACTGGGGAGGGGAATTGGATGGCGGGTTTAAGGTGGAGTTCTAGGGAAGGGATTGAAAATTGGAAATGAGGGTACTGGGGTATAGGGAATACCCGGCCAGGTAAGGTAGTTTCGGACATAGAACATTCTCTGTAACTAGCCGACATGTAACTATAAGGTGTGAAGGATAGATGAAATTGTTTATGTAATAATTTAAGATGAGGTCTGATAAAGACTTTTTGTTTCCCTCTGTAATGCTTTTTGCGCAACCGCTCACAGGATGAGTATGGGGGCACAGTAAACTAGCCGCCTCCGGCGACAAAAATATAAAAAATCAGAGACGATTCTTCAACGATACTCGTTTTCTGTTTATTGAAGCTGTATATATTGTTAGATTATATTGCGCTCGGTTGGGTTAAGTTAGGTTGATTTGGATTATATTAGGTTGAGCTAGGTCAGGTTAGCTAGGTTTCAAAATCCGTTGGCGAATCGTCTTGTGCGTGATGTGGCTTATATCCCCAGGTCTGGGGGCATGAGAGGGGTGTAAGGGTGTGCGTCCGTCACGCTGTCTCTTACTACCAGCCCGTGTCGCGTGTCCCGCCCCAGTGTGCAAGTCTGGAGATAAAAATACTCACTAGTCTGAGATGACACAAAATTTCACCAAGCTAACAACATAGTTTGAATATGGTAACCTGCCCACGACTGTTCGGATGGTCTGTATCGTCCTGCGATAGCCGTAAAATATACGTTTTGCGATAGTATCTCGGATGCGATTGTATGTATACTGTCGTATACACACGACAGATTACTATAGGCTGCTGGTGTAGGAGAACTTCTGACACATCCCTACAGCTGCTGGTAGCACCACTTTACAACTACATAGCTGCTGGGGAAAGGGGGCGTCTGTCTACACCTATTAGGCTGCTCTTCCCCTCAGCTGCCGGGCAATGTAGCGCCATTCGACAGCTCTCAGGGCTGCTGGGGGTGGGGTGGGGAGCTCCTCTCCACAGCTACCTCCCTGCCCACTGTGGGCAAGCGCCCGCCATCACTATTTCCGTCCCCTCATTAGTAGAACTGACTAGCAGATGAAGCTCCTGTATTCTGACTATGGCTCTTACAGCCTGTTGAGCACCGCTGACTGTCTTGCTCGAGATTATCGCCCGTACTCGGAAAGAGTATATATACTTTTATATTTGTTATTTACCACCAGTAAAACTATGTATTTAGCTAAGTGACTTCGCGTATTCAAAGAGTAAGAAAGGTAAGGATTGTAGTCGAGACACATGTTGACCTCTGTGGAAGAGCCACGAGAAAATACCGGATATATGGTCTTGCTTGCTTGCTCGATTACCTATCTTGTCAATTTCAGTTACAGAAATAATATTTTAGTATTAACACTTAAAATCGGATAATAATAATTCAGTGTCGGGGAACAGGCAGCCAGTGTACTGTATATACATGTTGGGCTGATATCGAAGTCCTCCTCGAAGCTCGAACTACGGCCTCTGCAGGATGCAACCCCACAACAAACTGACTTTCTCCTGGGTACCTATTTACCGCTAGGTGAATACCTGGACATTAAGTGATAAGAAATGCGCCCAACCATTTCTGTCCTATCCGGGACTCGAACCCGGAATTCCTGATTGTGAGTTGAGAACTAAGCATTATTAGTTTTGGCCTTTTTTTTTAACTAGCCGTCTATCCCAAAAATGGTATTCTTTTGTGTTAAATCTACCTCCCACCAGTTGTTAAGGACGTATTTACTTCGGTCACGAGGGCTCTGGCCTTGAACGATAGTGATTCTGCTGCTACATCTATTTATATATACAAGAGTTCTTACATTCCTGTACAGCCTAGCGTTTCTGATAGGTTCTTAATCCTATGTTCCCGGAATACAACCCGTCAAATAGTTTAATAACCAAGTACCCATTTTCCTGTTGGGTAAACAGAGGCTACAGTCAAGGATTGACGCCCAGCAAATCCTCCCCGGCCAGGATACAAACCCAGGACATAGCGCTCGCAAAACGCCAGGCGAGTGTCTTACCACTACTCCACGGGATCTACGCTGTACTATTTCGCTTACAACTCAGTACCTGCATCTTTAAGTGCTTGCTTTCACTAAACAAGCCCAGGCGCTCGACAGAGTGGAGCTTGAGGAACGGTAAATTAATTTTCGTCTTAAAAGATCTCCCACTCAAGAGGTTATATCTACGTTTTCTCTGCTTCCGGGCGCGGCGTCAGGGCGGTATATATATAGTTCCCGCGTCCGCCGCCACCAAACATCTTTCAACCTTTTTAGTTTGAAAACTTTTTGCGTTTAATTGTCGTTGTTGTCAAATGTTGACATTTGAACTATTCTACCGCAGTTGTTAGATGTAAATATTACAAATCGTGAGGGCGACGGTCGAATCGGTTGGTTTAGTGGTGTGGCATAAAGTTTCTTTTTCAAAATGTTTACCTTGGGGTGCAGACGCTTAGGTTCAAATTAAGTACTTGGCTAGCGCTTCCTTTACCAGTTGCCAGCTGCCTTCATCTCCTAAGAAGAATTTCTTAAATAATTATTTTAACAATCTGTTTAATACTTACAACTATGCTTCATTTAACTGCAGATTGACTAAATACTCTATAAGTAATTGTAATGCTTATAATAACCCAAATTTTCATAACGTCAAACACATGCCATGCCTATTGCTTCTCCCTCACCCAACCTTCATGCCTCTAGCATGTTTGTCTCACGTCTAGTGGACGCGCGACATTAGGTGGTTAAGAGTGCTCTGTGCCGCCTCCTGCAGTAGACTCACAGTTTTCCCGTGGCTTCCGGGCGGTTGTAGTGCTCTCTACCTTCTGCAGAAGATCACTTATCGTGGCTTCCGGCCGGTTGCAGTGCTCTGTGCCTCCTGCAGTAGACTTACAGCTCCTCGTGGCCTTTGGGTGATTGTAGTGCGTTCTGCTTCCTTCTGCAGTAGACCTACAGCCCCTCGTAGCCTCCGGTTGGGGGTCTGATTAGCTGTGGGGATTTTGGGTAGGTGTTATCTCTGCTTCCGGTGGCTGGGCAAGGCCTACTACATATGCTACGCCTGCATCAATGCCGTTTATACGAAGTATTGAGTCTGGCAGAACTTTAATATTAACGCTATGTCGTCCTGAGTTTGGCTACTAACTGCTTAACACACTTGTCTTTGTCTAACTTGCCAATGTCTTTTATTTTCATGTCTGTAATATTTCTAGGTAAGAACAGTAAGTAAAATTTCCATTTAACTTATTGTTCTGTGTGCATGCTCGTAGCCCAGCAATGGTTTGTAGACCTGGAATTGTTATTCTTTATTTCTATTATTTCTTTTGCTATAAAGTTTTTATGTACATAATAACATATAGTTAACCAGCAATGATTCTATACTTTGTCCGTTATTCCTAATTGAGTCTCAATAAACTCTGCCTTGAACACATATGAATAAAGATGAAACATGCAATATATTAACGAGTCTCAAAAACGTGGATTAAGACATAATAATTTAGCAATTACACCACAAACAAGATAATCATCAACTTAAACTTACAGAATCGCCTTACAAGTATGAGTCTGGGGAGGTGAACATCCACTATCGTACCCCCGTCAGGATCGAGCAGAAGGAGTCAATCCCTGAGGAGGAGTTGGCTCGCCGTCAAGAGGAACACATGAAGAAAGTTTACGAAAACGAGAGACGCAAAAAATACTTGGCGGAGCTGGAAGACATAGAACGCCGAAGACACACAGATAATTTTACGTGAGTATGTAGAGTCTTTGCTTATATCTACGGATACGTATGTAGGCCTGTATGTAGGCTTCATCTGCACCTGTCATGTTGATGCCTCAGGGAGGTATAGTGTGGTTTGTGTAATGTCTTTTGGATGCCTCTGTTGGGTAAATAGTATTGCGAGTGGATTGCATTTTCTCTACAAGAACATGGGTTTGAAAATCTTCTAAAAGCATGTTATAGATGTACTTATGACAGCTTCTTTAATATAATCTGCAATTGAAATTAAGTTTTGTATTTGATTAAATACGTGTAATTATTATTTCAAGTAGCCGTGTTAGTAGTTATTATGTTTACAAAATAGCATTAAATGTAGGTCTTTAACCAGAATGTTACATTTTGACCAAATACACACACAGTGAGTGCACGTACTCCATCCTTGCATGCTGTAAGCGGGTTGGGATTTTAAGTATTATCATATATTGTATTGCATGATATGTATTTTCATATTTACTGCAGCATTTTTCAAGTGGTTAGCAACAAAATTCTGATTATAACACGACGGATGAATTTATTGATTGTGATTTATCTATCTAGGAAACACACATGCAGTGTTTAATTAAACTCTAGCAATACTTTACAGCAGTTTTCAGAAGAGTTAGTTTAGTTCATTTATTATGCACTCCATACCCATCCTGTGGGCGGTAGTGGAAAGAGTTACAGAGGCACATAATGGGCTCAGGGACTGAACTCCACAATTCATTTAGCTAAGCAAGTGACATGTACCTCTGTAACCCTTTCCACCACCACCTACAGGATGGGTATGGGGTGCATAATAAATGAACAACACTATCATGTTAATATGTCTTGAAAAACTTGAACAAGAGTCAAGTAATTTAGAAAATAATGCAAACATGATTGCCTAGATGATAATCTCATCGGTTATTTGAAATATGACATTCTGCAGTGATCTATTGTTTATGAGAAAAGTCATGAAAATTTAGGTATAATAATCAAATTGACACAATGAGAATATATGTTCCAAGAGTGGAGCTAAACTGGAAAACTGTTGAAATAATAACAGTATAGCGTTATACAGTATCTCTGGTTGAACCACCTACCCCTCAAAGCTGTAACAATGAAGACAGCACTATTATTCAAAACCATCTTTAAAGCATCTTCAAGCAGGATGGAGAGATGTTCCACAAGTAACCATGGCCAGTACCCATGGCACAGTGGTAAAGCACTTGCCTGGTGCTTTGCGAGTGCTTTGGCCTAGGTTCGTATCCTGGCCAGAGAGGATTGACAGGGCGCCAATCCTTAACTGGAGCCTCTGTTCACCCAGCAGTGAACGGTACCCGGTTGTTAAGCGATTTTGGCGGATTTGGCAGTATTGCAAAATATCTACATTCAGTGAATATACAGTACTGTAGTAAGAATTTTTTTCATAAACAACAAGAGGTCATTAAAAATTTAACTTATGGTTCTGGTGTTGGACAAGAATGTTTGTCAATAAATTTTAAAGTAATAGTTTATTATAATCAGTATTTATTGTAAAAATGTCAATTTGTCCTCCAAAAATTATAGTACTTAAGTGACTAGAAACCATCATACTGGGCCCAAGAAAGAAGGCAGCAACCAAAGCTACACTTATCTAGGCCTATTGTACTACATAATGTACTAAATTTGGTCTAAGAATTGTAAATTATGCCTATGATTTCTTATTGAGGCCTAGAAGAGATTAAAATAGATTGATGGTTAGGTTGTTGGAGATTTTGTTATGCCCTTAGTATTTTGGGTCCAACCAGCAATGTTTTGTATATTCCATCCACAGTCACTATATGTACAATCATTCTTCGAGGATGGATTGATGTAAATCATGTATTATCATCTGTATTGCGACACATTTAATGTGTCATGGAACATTATTATTAGCGGCTGGAATTTTCATCATTACTCAGCATGCAAATGCTTATTATAAAGAGCATTTAATCTGAGTTCTATATAAGGTACAGTACTGTAGTTTGAAATTTGTTGGTTAAGGCAAAAAACTGCATCACCCATATTTCTTATCTAGAGGAACTTTATCTGTTTTAATACAGTATATTCGTTGCACAGTTGTGTGTGGTGTAGTGTGTTGTATAAGGTATTATATGCCTATACTGTATTGTATTTACAAATCTTGCCTCTGTATCTTAAATTGTAGTACCAAAGTTGGCCTAATTTGCATCTTGTTCAAATTCAGAACTTTAAAGGCTTATTCTAAAAAAAAAAAAGTTGATACTCTCTGTACTCATTTCTGTGCATGCACCAATCATTACACATATTAACAGTTAACATTTTGTATTTATTCAGTACAAGAAAAAGATTTATGATCTTTTTTTATAATTTGATGCATTGCTTTAATTGATCCAAATAATGATTATAGATTTTTAGTCTCATAATAGTCAATACTGTAATGTGAAATATTATTAACATCTCCTTAGATTTTTAGTTTAAGTGTTTATATGCTCATAACCATTTAATGCTTGAACACTTTTGCCGTGTATTTCTAAAGCTTAATAATTTTCTTTTCATTTGTATTAAGAAAACAAAATCTGGCCAGTCAGTGTACTTTCCTTCAGAGGTGTATGACTATTATTTTCCTTACATTTTAGCTGCACTTCATTCTTGCATTCTCTACCACATTTTCCCTATACTCTATTTGACTTCCTTTATTAAGTTTTCATCTTTATCATATTCATACTGAAATACAGTACCGTATAGTTTGGCTTTAATGCATTGTCCTCGGCTTCCTTGATCTGTCTTCAATTTTTTCTTGGCCATACTTTCTTGATGTTTCTTATTTATTGACCAGCAGGAAATATATGTTGCCATTGCTGACCTTCACCTCCTTATTATCTACAAATACTGTATCAACACACCTTACTCCACTACACCCATAATTTGATCATATTTGGACCCACAACAAAAGGTGCAATTCTATACCTATAAGATAGAATGTCTGTCAAAAGTTGGAGGCTAGATGCTTGGGCCTAGCCTCACCCAAATTTGCAGGGGGAACGGGTCTGGGTTATGGGACAGACGTAGGCTGGTCGTGATAGAATTAAAGAAATATCAAGCTGTAATTCTACCTCCACATGCTGAAATCTGAAATTAAACTGGTAGAATCAGGGTGTGAGAAACTAAGAGTTTAATTAAAACTCTTTCACGAATTATTGAAATGGAAAGATAAATACAGTTATGAAGACAAAATAGATGGATGGATAAATAGGTAGATAGATGGATTGATAGGAGAGACAGACCCGGGCAATGACGGGTACCTCTATAGTATGTATATAAATACAGTATAGTATTGTATTTGGTGTTTAGGTAAAGTCACTAGTTTTAATTATATATATATATGTACTGCATTAAACATTAATATACTTGGTAACACTGAAGAATCTTCATGGGCAAGCTCAATCGTTATCATCCTTCAACATCCAGTGTCATTTTCAGATCTCTATAAAACCTTTCCATAACTGCAACAATTACTTAACCAGTGCTCTTCACCTTAGCTAAGATTTAATTTACCATTGTTTATCAAAGTCGTCCCTAGATCAAAAATTAACATTCCCCATGATGCAACACACAACTGCTAGGTGAATAGTGGCATCAGATGTCAGGAAAAATGCGCAAATATCTCAACCTGCTCAGGAAATGAATTACGGTGCAGTCTGTTGTGTACCAACTGTGTTACCTTACCGTTTGAGAATTTTGGGGCTCAACGTTCCCGCGGCCAGGTCCTCGACCAGTCCTCCTCCTGCAGCAGGTTAAATTTAATATTTTACTTGTGTGGGTTTCCTACACATTGTATTATTGAGGAATATCTGTGAAAAAAATCACGTCTATATAGGTCTCAGAAGAACCATCTACTGTTCATCCAAAGTGATTAGGATATTGATTCAAACCCTTCAAATACCACAGTGATATCCAATTGTAATCTATCCTTCAATTGCATTATTGAAGGATAGATTATTGGATATAAATTGCAATTTCACAATGTCATATGTAATAACATTACTGTCACTTGAATCTTCAGTGAGTTTTAACTGCAAAATTTGAAGCTGTTGTTATACTAAGCAAGAAGGGCCTCAAGGTACATAACTGGTACTCTGAGATTTAAACTCTTCCTGAAGTACTGTACTGCAATAGCGGTTTCTACTCTCATCTACTTCAAATAAATTCCATATACACAATTTTGTGGGTAATCTCATTTCATTTACTTGGGTCTTCAGAGATTACATATTACCCATACATTAAAACAAAATTACTTTTTACTTGACTACAGTCAATTGTATACAGTCATAGGCTTTATAGTGTCTATCATTTTATGCTTTTTGCACATATAATCTTCAACCTCTTCATTGCATCTGTCTCTCTTGTCTCATCCTTCATTTCCTATTGCACTGAGCCAGTCTGACTAGGCATCGTCTTACAGTTCCCCTCAGGCGCGGCGTCGTTACCTGTCCACCCTCAAAGTTGTGTCCCGTCTCTTCTCCTCCGTCTTCTCCCTTGTGAGGAGTAAACACTGCCACCCCAAGTCCACTTCACCAGATATTGAAGTCCACATTGATAATGAGATACGAAAATGTGACAAAGAATTGATGGAATGCATACATAAAGAGACTGATGGGATTGCAGTGTATATATCGGAAGAAGTGTATGTTTAGCACACTTGACATTGGTCCCTTTCATGAATAGAAAAAATACAAAAAAATTAGCATGATGGGTACCAGATCCAATTAGAAGGGTAAAGAATGTAAACTTTGGTACAGAAATATGAAACAAAATGTACTAAAACATGTGTTGTACTGTATTTACACAAAGTTTGGAGCTTGTACATACACCCAAGACCTTACCTAAGGGAACCTAGAGTTTTCTTGGTGTAAGCAGTATATGCCTTCTAAAATTAGTGATGCTGCAATAGTGGCATATATAGTGCTAACACATTTTATTGTAGTTTGTGTTAACCATTCTGCATGAAGTGAAGATGCATGAAGGTATGTGCTGTATTATTTTTAGTTAATATTTTTTATTGTTTTATATATATAATTTATTGTATGTTGATGTTAGTTTTAAGAAGAATTTATGTTATCACTTATTTCATGACAAGAAAGTGATTTAATTTATATATTGTACTGTACATACATTCACATCATGTACATATAAATATATTGGCAACATACATGTATGCTATAGTGTATGTGCATGCATGTGTTGTATGTACTGTATAAGCATTTTCCTCTAGATAGCAGGTGTAGAATGATTGACATATGGTTATTCATGCAGTCACAATGCAAGGGATTGCATTCGTCCAGCTAAACCCATTTGCCCAGGCAATCATTGCCCTGTTTATATTAACACTGCCTCAAACAATTGGCAGTTGCTTTATAAAGGCTATATGGCAACTGTGTTATGCTTAGGTCTTTGACACCGAGATATGAAGAATATTAGTAAGAAAAATGTTGGGAGATAATTTTTTATTTAAATATCAATATGGCTGCCAAGTGAACAAAAATTCATTTCACTTATAATTTTAGATTTACACAAGCATTTTCCTGTTTTAGATGTCAGCAACATTGTGAACATAATTTTGACATTTAAGATAATGGTTTACTTAATAAATGGAGAGGATATATGTATAGCATTAAAAAAAATCTTATATCTGTTTGTGTTTCCAGACCATTACAGAAATCCCCAATTCCTCTGAATCGGTATGATGACGAGAGCAGTCTGGGCACTATGCGTGGTGCCAGGACGCCAGATCTCAAGCAAGTTGCAAAGGCATTATACAACTTTACTGCACAAAATAAAAGGTATTGTATTATATTGCATAAAGCCAAGTCAGAATCAGTTATCAGTTATTGCATAAAGCCAAGTCAGAATCAGTTATTGCATAAAGCCAAGTCAGAATCAGTTATTGCATAAAGCCAAGTCAGAATCAGTTATTGCATAAAGCCAAGTCAGAATCAGTTATTGCATAAAGCCAAGTCAGAATCAGTTATTGCATAAAGCCAAGTCAGAATCAGTTATTGCATAAAGCCAAGTCAGAATCAGTTATTGCATAAAGCCAAGTCAGAATCAGTTATTGCATAAAGCCAAGTCAGAATCAGTTATTGCATAAAGCCAAATCAGAATCAGTTATCAGTTATTGCATAAAACCAAGTCAGAATCGGTATGAAATAATAAGAAATGTAGAACTTTCTTTATGAATATAGATACAGTATATTCATTTATTTTATTACTAAGGGTTGTACTTGTAAAATAAATAAGAGGCTGGTAAAATACTTGTTCATGTAAAATAAATATAATACTTGTAAAATTAATGAATACAGTAGATATATTCATTTATTTTATTATTAGGGGTTGTATCTGTCTCCCATCTGTCCATCTATCTGTCTATCCATATATCAATCCATTCATCTACTCCTTCATATATCCATCTATCTATTCATCTATCCATATATATATATCCATCTGTGCATTTATCTATCCATATATATATATCCATCTGTGCATTTATCTATCCATCAAGCTCTCTATCCCTCTTTCTACTCATCTATCTGTCATCTGTCTCTTTCTCTGTCGTCTGACTGTCTCTATACAGTACATCTGTCTGTCTGTGTCTCGCTCTTATAAAAAATATAATTGTCCAATGAGTGGGTGGTTACCAGTGAGGGGGAGCTTCGTGGTCACAATGCTAAAAAAAGAATAGTTATTCCTTTCTCTAGTAAAGAGCTATGCTTTTAGAAATCTTTGAAGCTGGGAAAGGATCGTCCGTTTTACGCAATTATTTTTTTAAATTTATTATGCACCCCATATCCAACCTGTGGGCAGTAGGGAAAAGGGTTACAGAGGCACATAATGGCTCAGGGACTGAATGCAAGCTTCAGTTCACATCGTCACATCAACAATGGGCTTGAGACTGACCACAAGCACAGTTTCTAAATTAAGCAACTGACATACTGTATATGGAGAATTGTGACCCCATATTGTCACAATTGACATGTTTATCCTGCACACCGCCCCACCTCCCCATCCAATGGACAGTGGTGGGTAGGTTACAATCACTCGGTTCTATCTGCAGTTAGTAAACTGGGAATATTTGGCTAAAATTTATGGTAGCAGATCACTTGAATGAAATATTTACACATCTCTTGAACTTTTGTTATAGAATTGTCTCTGAATTCACATATCTTTTCACACTCCATCACATAATGACGGAAGGTATGCGAATAGTTTTGTTGACATAGTTTACATTTGGTCAGGTCTACATCAGCAGGTAATGAAAATTCCCAGAGATACTTATAGCAGAGTCTAAGCCAAGCAGTAGTAACATTTAGGAGCATTTGCAAAATCAAAAGCATTTGTTTTGAAAATATTTAGCTGTGTAGCTAGTGGACAGTGCCAAAAGTCGTCATGGGGGTCTGAATGTGACCCTGGCACACTGTTTCCTTTTGAATTCTGGCATCCCCGACCCGCCAGTGTTCATCCTGTACTCCAGACCAGTCCCTCTGCCAGTTTGGGTGAGGTTAGCCCTACGCTTGTGGCCTCCAACTTCAAACAGACAGATTGTATGTCCGTCATTCTCTCTTACAGTATAGATTAGCAGGCATGAATTGGCACGTTAATGAAAACTTTGTTTCTGTTATTTTTATTACAGGGAGCTAACATTCAACAAAGGTGACGTTATCTTCATCCGCCGACAGATAGATAAGAACTGGTACGAGGGAGAGTTTAGAGGATCAGTTGGTATCTTCCCATGCAACTATATTGAGGTAATATTTTTTATAATTACAGCTTCAGGAATGTTTTTAAAATCGATGAAATTGAGTTAAATGTTATATTTTATTAAACCTAAATACTGTACCTTTTTTTCATTATTATAATATAGTTTTGTTGCTTTCATCATTTTCCTCCCATTACTTTGTGGTATTTACTCGTAGGGATTGTCAATTACCGATATCTTCTTGATTTCCATTCATCCTGTGTAATGCTACAGGTTGGCTATCTGTCAGTTATTTCCTAAAATTCCCAGTGTAGGTAAGCAGAACACGAACAAAAGTTCCTGTTCTGTTATTCTTTCCTGATTATTCAGTATTCTTTTGAGAAAATATCATTCTCTTTTATTCTTGCCAGTTTCATATGTGCTACTATGATAATGGACTATGGCATTGTTATTCAGTTTCTCCATCTACCCTATTTGATCCTCTTATTTTATTTATACGTCCACTTAGCCTTATGTACTCTGTCACGCCTTACAATGTTTTGGGTATGCAGCACTAGCTCTCTTTCACGAGTATAGTATTCTGACACTTCTCAATTCACTTACCAACTTCAGGTTTGTCCTTCATATCTTCCGTTCTATTTACACCATTAGGTTTGCACCAGGCGTACCAGCTCAGCCTGTCTTGCTAGGTAGCCTCAGTGAACGGAAAATTATGTATTAAAAACACCTGAACCTAACCTAACTGATGAACCCACGCATAGAAAGTAAGAATGTTTGTGAAAAGTGATTTTAGTGCATCGTATCTTATTCCATTGATGACTTTGACCTCAAAGTGTGATCATTATTTGAGAAGATGGGTTGACTAGCTAGGCCCAGCAGAATATTAAAATTAAGAGATCCTTCTCTAGTTCCCCAAAAGTTGAGAACCAATACGTAGTGTAAAGTTAAAGTTCCTACTGTTTCAATAGGCTGTGCTCTCCTCCTGTGACCCATGAGTGCCCTCTGGTGGTCTAATGCCAGTAGCTAGCTTGCCAAGCGTTATTGGTTCTGCATATGTGATACATATGTTTTCAAAAGTCCTTTCTGCTCTTCGCCTCTGTTAAAAGACCTTTATTGTGTTGCCATTTTCACAGTTTTATTGTTACTGTATTTCTTTTTCATATTTAGTTTTTATTTTGGTACAGTACTGTATTATAGTTCATATTTTGTAAACATTTCTAAATGTGTGATCAAACATTGCTTAATAACCCCATTTTGCCACTGGTCACTGCCACACCCTGGGTCCACTGGTCACTGCCACACCCTGGGTCCACTGGTCACTGCCACACCCTGGGTCCACTGGTCACTGCCACACCCAGGGACCACTGGTCACTGCCACACCCAGGGACCATTGGTCACTGCCACACCCTGGGTCCACTGGTCACTGTCACACCCTGGGTCCACTGGTCACTGCCACACCCTGGGTCCACTGGTCACTGCCACACCCAGGGACCACTGGTCACTGCCACACCCAGGGACCACTGGTCACTGTCACACCCAGGGTCCACTGGTCACTGTCACACCCAGGGTCCACTGGTCACTGCCAGTCTTTTGGCCACCTTTGTGATTCATAATGATGGAATTTCATTGTGTAAATATCATTAAAAATGTCTATTAATATTGAGAATAGAAACCATTTAGCTTTCTTTCAGGGGGTTAGCTCCATAAGCATAACATCTCAGGCTTGTTCTTTGTCCTTAAGAATGATTTAGACTTCCTGGTAAAGTTTGCTTAATTTATTACCATATTATTTTTATCAACAGATTGTGCCTTATGAAAATGTTAAGACATTAACCAGGAAACCAACAGAAGGTCAGGCAAGAGCCAGATTTAACTTCCAGGCTCAAACCTCTATGGAGATGTCCCTCAGTAAAGGTGAGTAGCAATTCCTACATTTCCAAGTTTGATAGGAACTGTAATAATTAGGCAAGGCAACATTATGCTGTAGTCACAAGGCAACATTATGCTGTAGTACTGGTGTCACAAGGCAACATTATGCTGTAGTCACAAGGCAACATCATGCTGTAGTACTGGTGTCACAAGACAACATTTTTTTTATTTTTTTTTATTTTATTTATGCATATACAAGAAGGTACATTGAGAATGTGAGGACAAGTGTAAACATTATGCTGTAGTACTGGTGTCATGAGGGAACATTATGCTGTAGTACCTTTGTCACAATGCAACATTATGCTGTAGTACTGATGTCACGAGGGAACATTATGCTGTAGTACTGGTGTCACAAAAAACCTTGTAAAATGGGCAGTGCAGGGTCATAATGGTACCCATGAGCTGGAATGATTTCTCAAAGGCCCAATTCATATTAAAGCCCATCCCAACTCTCCTAACATCACAGAGACTGCCAGAATCACTAACAGTTGACCTGTCTTGCCACCTACCACCACTGCCAGCAGGCAATGTTATCCTTCTCGTAACAAAGTTCTCTCCAGTGAGCCTCTTCCCATTCTTCCTAACCACTTTGGATAAACAACTTCGGACAAACAGTCAAATCCTGAGACTTTACTGTATATTATCAATACTGCCATTGGCCTATAGGAACCTTAATAAGTAACAGGCTTCTTGCTCCCAACAATGGGAAACCTAATGTGGTCACCTTATTTTTTTTAAACAGGAGAATTGGTTGTTTTGACCCGGCGTGTTGATGAAAATTGGTATGAAGGGCGGATAGGTAATCGAAAAGGCATCTTCCCTGTTTCTTATGTCGACACTTTGGTAGAACCAGGCAGTGATAGACCCAGTAAGTGGAATTTTTGTTTCAATGACTATCAACTATCTATATCTGTTACAGACATTTAGTGCATAATATAGTGGGTGAAGGAAAGACCAAATATATGTATAAATATATTGAAAACCAAATTTTCAAATGTAACCTTCATTCCTTTGTTTTGTAATACATTTATACATATATTGGGTCATTCCTTCACCTTCATTCAACAAGCACTACAGCATTGTAGTAAGTTTCTCAATAGACAGTAGTGGCTAATATGGAAACCCTGTTAAATGAACAAATCCACAGGGACCATGATGAGGGTTCGAACTTATGCCCGGATTGACCATGTTAAGTAGTGATTAGATATGTATTTTCTTATGCATCAAAATTCTAAATCATCGACAAGATGTAGAGAAATGCCAAATTTTATGTCAACTTTATTGAAGATGACATTTTGCATATGAGGGCTTTATTAGATCTTAACAGATGAACAGGGCTTATTGCCGGTGAAGAAAAAAGGTGAGGTAAGGTAAAAATGGTTTAGGATTAAAAGTGTTGATTTAAATTCTACTGGTATTATTAAGCCAAGTGCAGTTGCAACACAGAATTTTCCTTGATTGTGTTTGATGGTGATGTGGCTACAGATTTTATGCACTTTGTTCTAAAAGTAATTTTCTACTTTAATGAATGACAGGCTTGACATCTTATAAGCTCATAAGGTGTTGCTTTTGGCTTGTGTGTGATGGAAGTGTTGTTAGTGCTGTTGATATGGCCTGTGTGTACCTAGTGTGTGTGTATGCAAATCTTCAATTTATACTTTGTCACAATTTCTACAAGGTATTGTTTAGATCTGTGGTGTAGGGACCTTGTTACTGTTTCTGCTTCTGACCAAGGTATTAATTGTAGTAGATATTTTGTTCAATAACACTAGTATGTTATCCCTATTACATAGTAACCCTATTCCATGTTTAAGGGTCCTGGTAGTACAGTCGGGTTCGTTCTCGACTCACAGTCGAGAATTCCAGGTTCGTATTCCGGGTGAGACAGAAATGGTTGGGCATGTTTCTTTTCACCTAATTACCTGTTCACCTAGCAGTAAGTAGGTATTCAGAAGTTAGTCAGCTTGTTGTGGGGGTTGTATCCTGAGGCGGGGTCAGAAATTTAAGCTTGGAGTGGGTGGGGGGGTGATTTCGATAAAAGCCTAATGTGTATGTATACACACTGGCTTCCTATCTTCCGACACAATGAATATAGGAGTTACAGTACAGTATGCATAAAACTTTCCATGCGGTTCATATCCGGGGAGTGTCTGTCTTGGCAGACAGCCTGTCTCTGTTCATTTCCCTGTCCACGGAATGGATGGTTGACGCCAACTCCTTCAGTTGGCTCTGCCAAACGTACGGGCTTATGGAAGTGGAAGTGTTCGCGTTGGCATGGTCTCAGCGTCTCTTTATATATATGTGTGGTGCCCTTCCCTGATTGTGGAGCCTTCGCAGTAGATGCCTTTCGGCAGGACTGGTCCAATCACAGGGGGAAGGGTGGGGGGAGGAGGTTTCCAGGTACAATTGCTCCCTGTGCCTCTCAGGGGGGCCAGGTTCTGGTTCGTAGTTCCCAGTAGGCTGCACTCCATTGACTAATGCCCTGGTCTAATGTATCGCATATTAGCCTGATAGCTCCAGGGAGCCTCCAGGGGCTGACCCAGAAAATGGCATTTCATTACATTCAATGCTAGTTTTTTTTTTTTTTTGGACTAGATTTTCAGAATTTGGATACTCGGTTGTACTAGTAGTAATAATTAATTTTTTTATCAGAAAGAAAATACTGTACTCTATTAAGAATTTGGTTCTGATGATGCACTCTTCTCTATACAATATACAGTTAGCTGTATCTAGTAAATATGAAATATTTGGCAAATGAAATATATTTACTGTATACTACATACAATATGTAGAAACTAGGTTATCTAACAATGAATTTTTGTAGGCAAAATATTGCCCCCTTATTTCCTTAATTATTCTGAGAGAGAAAAGTACAGTATTGCTAATGTAATGTTACTTAAATGTTTTGATATAAACTGTTCTGTATACTTATTTTAACTTGTAGTTATTGAGGTAAATATAACTAGATTAATTACAAGTTTTCTGGGGGAGCTCCGGGAAGCCTCCGGGTCTCACCCAGAAACTGGCGTTTCATTACATTCAAAGCTGGTTTTTTCTTGTTCATGGAAATATGCTTTGCTTCCATTTTTTGTATAGCATGTTATGTATAGATATGCATTGTTAGGAAGCTTTTCTTTAAAACATTCTTGGCCTATCTGCATAGATACAGTATTGTGAGAGTTAATTCATGCTTTGCAAAATACAAGGCAACTATGTTTAAATCACACTTCTGCCTGTGGAATAGAATAATCCAGCATATGCTTAGTTTTGTCTGAACGATGCTTGTAATGTTTCCGTGCCATGTATATTGTGTACCTGTATGTCTTGTTCGTTCTCAATTTTTATAACAAAAAGGGTCTGATAAATTGACTGAATTCATGTATGCAGGTTTGTAAAATGGGATTATATTGAAAAGAATATTTTTTAAGTTATTAAGGATGACCTTTACTTGAATTTACTGTGTTCCAGTACTGTATATATAAATTTTTGAAATAGGAAGTTATTAAAATTGGTCATTCAGGTATTCACGATAACATACACTTTCTTGCACAGTTTATGTTGAATTCAGTAAGTTCACCAAGCTTTGGAATAGATATTGAGGGCATTTTTAGAATGTGTTTTTAAAAGTAATATAATTTTCTTAATTGACATGCATTATGTATTAAATATTGTACAGTACCTTATAATATGGTATGGTATACATGTTATTGTAAAATCTTGCTAATTTTACTCATACAAGCAGAATCCTTAAGCTCATCAATTGAATGAAGTAAATAATTTCAGTGTTATTTTGGAGAACGTAGTGATCTGCTTGTACTACAATAGGAATGTCCATGTTTAACAAGCACAAAGAAGCATAGGAGGGTTATAACATTTTAGCCCTTCAATGTCCTGGTTTTGATTATAGACATTGATGAGAAGTATGTTTTCTAAGCTATTACATTTGGTATCTTCCCAAGGCAAGCATCTGTTGTGTTATAGACAGGATTCATAAATAGGCTAGACGATATTTAAGTACCAGTGCCGTGAAGATCTTTTCTCACATCTCTGCAGGCATGCTGGGTCATATAGGGTGCTCGGGAGACACTGAGGAAAAGCTCAGAAAAGCTTATGAGGTAGCTAACGAGCTGAGGACTAATTCATTAAAGGTTCAGCCCTGGCAGTTATAGTTTTCAAGTTTTGTAGACTGTGAGCAGGCTCTTCTTTATTTTGAGGAAGTTCCTTCTCTTGTCAGTTGAGTTACAGAAAGATAGTACTGTATGGTAGCACACTTGCCCTGCATCATGCAAGAAATTTTATATGGGTTCAGGCCCTGGGCAGGTATGATTGACAGTGAGCCAATCCTTAACTGTTCTTCCCTGTTCATCCTGCAATAATTGTTGGGGGGGGAAGGGGCGGAGACCAAGTTGTTAACTGATTGGCAGGCCATGTTCCAAGGAAAACTAAGGCTTAACATAAGCTATGGTAAAAGAAGGGTCTAAACCTGCTAATAGGAATCATTTTGAAGATTGCTACAGTGCTAATGCCTGAATGATGATCTGCTTGACTGTTCATAATCCCTGTCTAGGATACATCAGATTCTTACCTTATGGAGCAACTGAATAGTTCTGCTCATAAGAGCTTTACATATAGACTAAAAAGCCTTATTTTCCCTACTTAAAAATCCTATTGTTACTTGAAGTCATGGTACAATATATACAGTAGTTTCACATGAGAAACATTTTTTAACATTATCACAGTTGTGGTGCTGTGAAGTACATTAATACAGTACTGTAGTATGCATTTTTATTGTCAATACAATTTATTTACTTTAATCTGGAAGATGCAGAATAAAGTAATACATGAACATTTCTGAAAGACAAGAAAACTATAGTCTTATGGATTTTTAGTGGCCATAACTGCAACAGCTGTCTTTTAGACATCGTATATCGGAGAGGTATTCCAGCATCTGTATACCTAGAATTTGTAAATACGTCTGTACAGTACCCGGTACAATTGTACCAGGTATTGCAATATAAAAAAGTATTGTTCCAAATGTTGTAGTTAGCAGGATAGTTGGCCTTGGACTGCTCTAACATGCAAGGAATGTTTGAATGAATGACTTTGCTTGACAATATTCCCTCCTCTTATTATATTAACACCTTTTTAGCTGCATTATGCCTCTCAATGACCGACTGCTTATTTCCCCATTTTCTCCCATTATTATTATTATTCGCCTTACAAGTGTCTTTTTGTCTTGATTCCTTCCATGTACATGGCTGTGAAGCGGCTCTCTCATTCTTGTTGGTCACTAGTTATAATCAGGAATGTTTTGCTCGTGTACGAGAACCAGATCAGAAGCACAAAGTTCTGCCATGCTTCAAGTGTTGCTGTAGAATTTCTTAATATTTGAGTGTATAAGTTAGCGAGGGTACGTTTTAACATGGTTACATATAATTCATACAAATAACAAAGAGTTATTGAAGGACACAATTGTAATCAAATTATTAAAAAGTGTGAAAGATATTTGAATAAAAATACTTGTTTTATAATTTTACAGTGTAAAGTCAAAACTCCCAAATCCCTGGGAGTATGGAATAAGTTTTTAGTTGAAGATAATGGTTTCTCAGATTTTAATTTGCTTTCTGGTACTGTAGTAGTGATATGTCCAAAAGTTTAGGTTATGTGCATTTTCCATTAACAACTTCCCATATTATACATGGCTTTGATATAAATGAATATAATCTAACATCACAACAGATTGGTTCATGTTAAATTACCTTCCAGTCTGTCTGCCTGTATGTGCATGCCTCTTGCACTTTCCTGGCTGTGTATATTATATTTCTTTAATATACTGTCATTACATAAACAAAACCCTTGCCTAAAAATTAATATGTTTTGGCTGTAGGTTGCCTTATAAACTGAGAAGAAAAATATATGATGTACAGTATGAAGTTACCTCAATTGAGTAGCCAGCAGCAAGCATGACAATTTGACAAAGGAATTTTGAAGTATCTTTGTTCTAACTCATGCTACACCCTTGTCAGCCCCTTCTATCACCAGTTGTGAGCTTCGGGCACTGATCCACTTCCCAATCAGTCATTCTTATTCTTACACCTTGATTGTGCTATTAATTTGTGAAGTAATGCCTCATTATTATGAGATGGTTTACAGCCCTGTGGCAGAACACTGGGTGTGGTAGCATGTAAGTCTTTATGTGCCTAGTAATGAAAGGTGATTATATCATTAAAGCTGAAGTAATTCTGTAATTGGAAAGAATTACTGAAGGCAACATTAATTGTCATTACAGTATTTATTTTTCTACCCTCATGAAGTTTTGTTTTTACAAAGGCACAAAATATAGTAAATGAATTCTGCAAGGAAGCCTTTTTTGGATGACTTATTACTGTTTAACTCCTCACCAGCGATGTTAATAAATATTAAAGGTACTAGATATCGTACATATCATGCAAATAAAATCCTATAATCTTGTGCATGCTTCTGCTAACTTCCAGGATAATACAGTACCATTATCAATATCTGGTATTTCCATTTCCTACTTTCACATAAGGTTGATATATTCAGAATCGCATACATAGTTGTAATCATTATTTCAGAGGCATACATGTTATTTCATTACATCTTTGGAGTATACAGTAGAAAATGTACATATGTATGTATGTATACATACATGAATCAAGACCAAGCTTGATTCATGTATGTATATACATGAATCAAGCTTGGTCTCCAAGCCAACATGCATCACAAAACTCTTGACTCCTGAAGGAGTCAAACTCAGTACAGTCTGAGTGATTATAGTACTGGACATGCCAAGGGGCATGCAGGCTCTGATTGACTGGATTTGAATCTTTCAGGGGTCAAGAATTTTTTGATACACATGTGTGTGCATACATACTGTATAAGTATATAAATACATGTTTGTAAATGCAAAAAGATTGGCACACACAGTAAGCATATTATACTTGAAGTAGGATATGTATACATTAGAATCACATTAACAATGTCACGTATTATTCTCAGTGATTTAGGCTAACAGTCTTACTTATTGCATAACACTACAGTATAGCATTGTTATTAACATTAATAGCATTAACTCTGCACATTCTGATATTAGATAGCTTTGATATATTTTTGGAAAGTCTGATTTATGTGTAAAATCTTCCAAATTCTGGTAAATGTCAATCCACACACATTTTTCCACCTATAACTATGTAACAGTTCATTGAGGGAACATGGCATGACTGCCCAGCATTTATATCAGTGGAACCAGGTGAATAAAACCAAATAAATGTGATCAGAGCCGTTATGGAAATGACCTCAGCCTTTAATACCAGGAAGATTTGTTAGCAATTAGAAGAAAAGAAGATTAGTTAGAAATGTCAAGACTTTACCACCAACTTGGTCAATGGTAACAGGGCACAGATTGATAGCTCTACCAGAACCATAGATATTAAAAAATCCATTAAATAAAATATCCAAACTATTAAGTCTCTCTACCTGTACTCCTTGTCCAAAACACTGTGCGTATTAGTGGATTTAGACATAGTATGTACTGTACTAGCTGTATCTAGAAATCCAACATTCTCTTTGTAACTCGTTTTGAATATGTACTGTACATTTACCTGAATAAACATTATTATTATTATTATTATTAATTATTATTATTGGAGCATAGGCAAGAGAAACAAAAATTAATGTAGAAAATATTAGAGACTGGTTCCAACTCTGTACATTAAAATAATGTGACAAGTGCAAAATATCCCTGCTGAAGAGTAGAGGTGCTCTAAGAGCATATTCAATAGATATTAAGAGGTCAAAAAATTTTCAACACCTAAATATAAGGGTTGAAAAAAGTTGCCAACCCTTCTTGGGGCTCAAAAGATAACTTTATAAACTCCCTCCAAAGAGTACCCAATTAACCAGGCTGTCACTGTATGCAGTGGTGCCAAACTGCCAGATTGGCCAGACCAAGAGGCCTGGTCAGAGACCAGAACCTGGAAACACAGATCCTCGAAACTGTTTCAAGGTAGATGAAAAGTGAGTTATTCTGAAGAAAATTTATATAACTAATATGTAAATTAATGAAAATCTATGGTTCAATTACATAAGTATTGATCATATTCAATTCATAAGCATTTATCATACTGTGTTTCTTTTTGCCATTTATATACAAATATTAAATAACAGTGCGGCATAGTATCCATGATAATTGCTCCTTTTACTTTTTAAAATGTTCTGCTTACCTTCTACTCTTTCCTTTGTATGTAGTACTGAGGTAATCATTATTCTGATGTCTTAGAAGTATAGTACATGCCATAATTAAAAGCTTAATTTTTGTTTATATTCAGACCATTGAACAGAATTTGCAATGTGCTTGAATATTATATTAAAATTTCTAACACTTAAATGTATATGTTATGATGTATGACCCAATTAAATGATAATGACAATACTCATTTAAAAATATATATATATAGAGAGAAGTTATAAGTACAGTAATGTAGTTTCCAAGACTATTTGGCAACAAAAAATAACTTTCACCATGTAATTAACATAATAACTGATTAGTTAGTCTTAAACTAGAGACTGGGTGTTTTCCACAGCATATCAGATGTATCTTGTGTTAAAATAGAAGCAAATCATTCCAGTCTTTATATCTGAGCTTGGTAAAACAATTTTTTGGTTCTTGGAGATTTGCTTCAGTCTTCACTAATAAGGGCAAAAAGATTATAGAATAGATGACTGTATGCATCAAGGAGGTTTAGTCAAGAACCATCTCAAGGTCTGAAGGTATGCAGTTGTGCAATGAATGAATTTGCAAGATATTTTGCAAAGACGTGTTTCTGATTACAAAGTCATTCACGTATTACAATGCACAAGGTGTCAGCTGCCATTAAATTTGAATTTTTAATTATTGTTTTGAGAACTACACTTTAGGAACCGATTTATAAAGGAGCTATTTGTTCTAATAATGATCGGAGAATTTTTTGAAAACAAATGCTCTCTTTTTAGCTTAATTTACGAAGAGTGGATTGTGATTATTATTTATTTACTTGCAATTATCCTGCAACTTTTGTTAGCAAAGAAAGAAAACTTAATGCTTAAGAGCTTAATGATTTACTGGCTACTACACCCAGATGTTTTATAAAAGTTTCAGTTTTGTTCTGTTTTAATATTATTGAATGTTAGTTTCATATCTGTTTTAAGTAAACTATTATACCAATTGCTTTGGAAGAGGATGACTAAAAAAAAATTCCTTTAATATAGAGTTGGTTGTTACTATCCAAGCAAAAATTCTAATGAATGCATTTGTAAACAAGACATTAGTGGAAAATACAGTCCTCCTCCTTTAGTAATGATTATTACTTCAAAGAATTGGTATTTAGAGTTACCTTTTGATATTGGTGGTGTATCATTGCCAGTGACTCCCAGCTCCTCCTCGCCCATGCCACGGCCCGCTCTGCCCGCTGCTAATCTACTCTACAATGGTGCCTCGACCTACTCCAGCCCTTACTCCACCTTGGTGCGTACACTAAGCTATGATTGAGGTGCCAATTTCCGAGCTTAAGATTTAAATATTGTACTTTGTAATGATAAGACTTGCAAAAAAATTATTATTATATATATATATATATATATATATATATATATATATATATATATATATATATATATATATAATATAATATAATATAATATAATATAATATATATATATATATATATATATATACCTACCTTAAAACCCTTTAACAGAGAGCTGCTCAAGAAAATGGTAAGAAATTCAATATTTTTCCCCTTTCATTTAGAAACAGCATGGCTACATATATTTATGCACAGCTTTCTCAAGTGGTACCTTTAGTCAAAGCTTTATTTTAATGTCAATTGTCCATTGTCGGTGAATATTGTCTACAGAATATATAGCTTTTATATTTTGCAGAGTTTTTGTGAATGCAGGTTTTTCAGTTTTGTAAATTTAAGCTTAGCACAATTTGGCTTATGGCACTAAGATATATAAAAGTTCTACATATACTGTATTGTAGTATACAACATATGAAATAAAAAAAAAAAATTATATAAACAAATAAGTTAATAATAGTTAACTCACCACACTTTAAATTTATGAACATCTCCAGAAGAAAACTGTTTAGTATATCTTAAGTGCTCTTGTGTTCTTTACATTAGTAACCTTAATGTTTCAATACTTGTAATGATACTGCATTACAAGTTTGGCTAAATTATGCAAGTACTTTACATGGAATGCAGACATAATGATATTTCTGTCTTTTGTTTAGGGGCGACCGGGAAGTCAAAATGATTCTAGACCCTACAATCAATCCCTTACTGTCAACACCCAACAGGAACCTGTAGCGTAAGTTATTATCAAATTGTCACTGACAACATACGAAACTAAGTACAGACACATAAAGCAATTTCTATTCTAACAATAGAGAATTATTAAATATATATATATATATATATATATATATATATATATATATATATATATATATATATATATATATATATATATATATATATATATATATATATATATATATAATTCCTTCTGAAGATGTATTAATATACGAAAGTACTTAAGGGAAATTCCCTTAGGGGAAAGTACTTAAGGGAAATATATATATATATATATATATATATATATATATATATATATATACAGTATATGTATATATACAGTATATGTATATATACAGTATATGTATATATACAGTATATGTATATATACAGTATATGTATATATACAGTATATATATATATATACAGTTTTTGTGTAATGACATTTTCAAATAAAGTTAGATAAATATACACACATACCAAAAGAATAGGGGTGGTAGGAGAAGAAAATATCAAAGTGTTCAGTGAGGATCCACAAGGTCTTCTCTGAGTACTCTTTATTTTCTTCTCCGAGGCTATGGGTCCCTACACTTGCACCAGAGGTGGTACCCCTTCTAGGTTTAAAAAAAAAAAAGTGTAATATAATATATATATATATATATATATATATATATATATATATATATATATATATATATATATATATATATATATATTTTATATATATATATATTGTATATATATATATATTTTATATATATATATATATATATATATATATATATATTTAATTTATTTATTTTCAAGAGCTAAATTCAATCTAATCACAAGTTAATGTGATATTTTAGGTACCGAGCGCTATACAACTACAAACCCCAGAACGATGACGAGTTGGAGCTTCTGGAATCGGATATCGTAATGGTTATGGAGAAGTGTGATGACGGCTGGTTCGTTGGCACTTCTCGTAGGACTGGTCTCTTTGGCACCTTCCCCGGAAACTATGTTGAGAGGGTCTGAAACAAAAAGAAAATAGCCTTAGGCCCAAAGCTTTGTCCTCAAATCATAAAATATCATGAATTCCTGTGCTAAGTCTCATCCTGGGGCCTTTAGTACATATTCAGTCCCAGAACAAATGTTTTTTACAGTGTTTATATGTTTATCAACTTACCTAAGTTTAGAAGACCTAATGATATTGTAAAGTGGATGTTGGGGGTACAGTACATGGAAGTTATCCCCGTGACCCAACAACAGAAAGAAAAATTCAAATGTGACAACAATTTATTTTATAATAGTGTGTTTGGACTGGACTGGGAAAACTAAGTACCACAGTGTGAATTCAGGGGTCCTTGTTATATGAATACTGACAGGTATAGTAATCTAATTTTTGTCTTGCATTAAATAGTTTCCAGAGTATTTTTCTGAATGCTCCCTATATGTTATCTGGTGCATATGGTAAACTAAAGATATGTGGTACAGTACTTTAACTTACCATGTAAGACTGTTAAGGAGAATCCAGAAACTATGCAAATTAATTAATGTGAGATATGCCCTGGTCTTTAATAAAACATACAAATAAATTATATATATATAATAATAATAATAAAATATACAAATAAATGAATTATGCTTACAAGGACAAATTTTTGTGCCAATCTGATAAGAGTGAAGAATTTGAAGACACTACTACTACTACTACACTGAAAAATATTTTTGTGATTTATATATGATTTACCATGCACTGACAATCTAAATTTTGTTACCTTTCAGTCTTAATTATTTTCCACTATCTTTTAAACTTACATTAACCTGGAAGAATGATGCATGTAAAGTGCGGTTTCCTTGTCCATTATATATATGCGAATCATAAATCGTCCATGTTTTATGCATAAGGCACACTGGTGCTGAAGAAAACCATTAAGCCTGTGCATTTGTGTATATCAGAAGTAGCATATATATTTGTGACTCTATTGATGTGAATGCAAAAAGACTGCATTTTCCTTCAGTATAGAGGCTAATCTTTGTCAAACTGGTAGTGAACACAACATGAGAATTTGTTCAGGTTTTGCACGTGTCTAGTCACACCCAAAGTGAATTTATTGAGGGAAAAAATTATGTAGATGTCTTGTTACCCTCTGCCGGTGCTTTCTTCTGATGTAACAATCCACTATGATGTACTAAGCTAAGGTTTATGGAGCAAACAAGACCTTAGGCTGCGCACAATGCAAAGCATGATTTTACTCCACAAACTTTGCCTAATTTGTACTATTTCAAGGTTTTCTTTGAAAACAATTTGTATGTCCTTATACTGCTCCTGCCTTTCTTGCCTTATACTATGTACTTCTTTATTATTTTTTTTGTTTATTCACCTGACTTTAGGCATTGTGAATATGAAATAATGTATGATATCAATGCCCTTCTCTGTTTACAGTAAATATTATTTTTATCACCTCGTACATGTCTTCATTCTTTTAACTTATATAAATATGGCTAAGTGTATAAATAAAGAGATTATTTGAAGTGTATAAATGCAAGCATTATTGAAGAACAGTTAAATCCTGTTGTTCCAGAGTGACAGTGAAGGGTCCATAACAGTGACATGAGAACAGTAACTGTTTAAAGCAAAGCTATTTCCAACCTCCTTTTGTTGATGGTATTGTACAAAGATGCTTTTATAATTTACTTATTAGTAATTAATTTTGTATATTTTCTTTTTTTTTTTATTCAGCACAACAATCCACAAATGGAACTTTTAAATAGTATGTTTTGAATATTTCTGCTTTTATGGAAACATGGACCCCAGTGTATCCCACCATTTACCTTTCTGGGGAAGACAAAGGCAATGTGGTCATGGCCATTCATGAAATGAAGCAATCAGGTTCTTATAAACTTTTATAAATAATAGTAGCAAGGGATCCTCAACTGTGAAATGATTAACAGAAAGTCTTTGCTACGATGAACTCTGCCTGTGCTTCCGTATCAATCTTCCTCTGTGACTTGTTACAGCCATTATTTTATTACCAAGGTTAAGTGCTGTAGGCATTTAAGAGTTTTAGCTTTGCAACAAAAATTTACAATGTATTGTATCATAGTTTTTCAATGAAATTGCTGATGTGTTTGCTTGTGTTTGTTACAATCTAACATGTTCAACAGTAATATAGCTATGATATTTTGTTAAGGTAAATTCATGCATTACAAAACAGAGAATTAGCCTTAATGAGGTATAATTTTAAAGCTTCCTTTATTGTTAAACATGTCACAATTTTCTAATAGAATTTAGTTTAACAAGGCACACTACACTAAATAGATTGAATGAATGATGGAAAGCTTTGCCTCTACCACCATTATACAGAATAACAGTTCTGGAGTTTTAAAATCAAGTGCCTTTTTATGGTAGACAATGTACTGTTTAGATCAGAGGAGTTTGCCTGTAGCTGTCTTACCTCACAATGCATTATTTACATTTTAGCCCTGTCCTTCCCTTACAAAAATTGGGTTGTCAAATAAACCGAATCTCATCAATTATCAGAAGAGGGGGGTTACATGGGCTTCTTCACTTCAGTATAATTCTTTCCTGTTATGCACAATTTACTTTAGCTAATCATGTAGACTATGATAATAAAATGGAAGAATATACACAATGATTTTTCTTGTCATGGCTTTCCATTGTCAGGAACAAGTACAAGTGCCTTTGTACTGGAACAAATACAAAGTAATTAGGAACTGTACCCGTTCCCACTGTCAGGAACAAGTCAGCTACTCATCGGGCCCTACTAGGCCAATGACTGTCCCACCTACCACAAGATGCAACCCAGGTTAACAGTTACTACTAAGCAATCATGCATTAAGGTCAGGTATAGGTAAATGCATCAAGACATGTCCTGCGTGGAAACTGAACCTGGAACCATTTGGTTTCAAACCGGTTGCACTGACCTCTGTACTACAGTACAGAACAAAATGCCATTTCGGTTATTTGGCTTGGAAGCATACATGTTAGTACTGTATATACAGTTTGCGAGGAACAATTGCATGGACATGATAAATCATCCATGTAATTACCACTCATGTTTTGGAAGGTATGGTTGATTTTTTGCCTAGCTGCTAAAACATTGAGAATATTATCATTACAGATACAAACATTACATTATCCTGCTTACCAAAGTTATAATAAATAAATGAAAATACATGTCAACTGTATTGGCAGTTGGCTATTTTGTAATTTGTTTCACAAGTAAACACCTCCCTGCCCGCTCTCCTATCACCAGCCTGTAGGACCTCACCCCACCCTCAACAGAGAAAACAGGATCTAGTCTTGAAAAATTCATGAGAGTTGTGGGTCATTGAGAACTTATGAGAGCCACCGTTCCAGTCACCCACCCACTAGATTCTGACAAGACAAATATTGCTAGGTATTTATTTCCCCTACCTCCTTACCATTCTCAAGCACCCAATCTTTCACCTTAATGTTCTGCCCTTCTATTTCCAGACACCTACCCAGAGTGGGCAAAGCAGGCAGGGGGAGGGGGTGCAGAGGGCCTGGCTAGATGGCAGGTAGGTCCCTTCCTTCGCCTACCCCTGGCTCTTGGAAGGGTCCTTATGTGTGTCTGCCCTGCCAATAGGGCTGTTCTCAGAAATTACTTGCCTTGCCTCTTATGATAGCCCTCCACAATACTTACATACCCCCCTACATACTCACTCCCACATTCCCACACCCTCGGGAATGTGTGGGGGAAGTACGCGACACATGTGGAAACCGAGTACCCAAATGAGCCACAGGGATGTTAGAAAGACCTTTTTCAGTGTCAGAGTAGTTAACAGATGGAATGCATTAGGCAGTGATGTAGTGGAGACAGACTCCATACACAGTTTCAAATGTAGATATGATAAGAGCCCAGTAGGCTCAAGAATCTGTACACCAGTTGATTGACAGTTGAGAGGCGGGATCAAAGAGCCAGAGCTCAACCCCTATAAGCATAACTGGGTGAGTATACATTTACAAAAAGAGAAAAAATACTGGATCTAAGTGATGTAATACAGCTGCAGATACCAGATATTGTTGAACTCGGAGACAAAACTCGAAGATATTTTAAATGAGGTCGTATTCCCAAGGGGCTACTCAGTTTGGAGATGGGACAGAAAAATTAGCTAAGATGGAGGTATTGCCATGCTGGTGAAAGAACACCTAAAGGCAAATGAAATAATGATTGCCAATCCACAAGAAGTTAATGTTACCATGCTGGTGAAAGGACACCTAAAGGCAAACGAAATAATGATTGCCAATCCACAAGAAGTTGACATCTTCTGCACTGTTGAAATTTGCACTGCAGATTTGTAATCAGGCTAAACTGATAGAGTAATTATAAATGCATACAGGGCACTGTCATGCAACACAGGGACAAAGGAGGAGCTGGATAATAAATGAGAGCCTCATAATAATCATGAGAGCAATTGTAGCAAAAGCAGGTAAAGATAGATCACAAATGCCGGTAGTCAGTGACTTCAACTTAAAATCCATAGACTGGGAGGCCTATGAAGCTTGAGAAAGAGAAGAACAGAGAACTTTTGGACCTGTAGATTCGTAAACCTCATCCTGGAAATATTCATGTATCAACACATTAAAGAAGCTACGAGGATGAGGGAAGGGGATGTTCCTTCCATGCAGGATTTGGTATTCACTAGGAACAAGGAAGAGATATTTGACATTCAATACCTTTCCCCCACTTGAGTAACAGTGACCATGCCCTTTTGATAATAAAGTATGTTATAATCTAGAAGAGAATGAGGAAGTTGAAGCAGTTGAAAAACTTGTTTCAGGAGAGAATATTACAGGGAACTTTGAAAGTTCTTTAATGAATTTGATTGGAAAGGCTTGCTGTTAGGTAAGAAAGTAAATGAGATGTACTGTATGTCAAATTTTGTGAAATATATAATAAAGACAACAAAATTTATACCAAAGCAGAGATTCAGAACTAGGAAACAGGATTGGTTCAACAGGAATTGCGAGACCCCAGAGACCAAAAGACACAAAAATGGAATCAATTTAGGAAGAGGCCAAACCCTCAAACATACCAGCGATACAAAGAAGCATGAAACAACTACACAGCAGGTGTAGTTGTTTCTCAACTCCAAACAGTTCCAAAGAACAATCTAAAGCACATAAAGGTGTCTAGAGACGAAGTGGAAAAAATGGTCAAGGAGCAAAGTAAGAACAAAGCAGTTGGCCCAGATGGAGTTTCACCATGGACTCTGAATGTGCACCTGAGCCCAGCATTTCACTTCAACTGATTTTTCAGATATTCCTGTGTACAGAAGTTCTAGCAGATATGTGGAAAAAGGCTAACAGTTCCAATCTACAAAAGTGGCAGCAGGAAAGACCGCCTCAGTTATAGACCTGTATCATTGAACTATAAAAATCAAAATATTGGAAAAAATAATTAAAACTAAATGGGTAGAACACCGGGAGGAAAATTATATGATAACACAGACAGAAAGTATGGATTTCGATCTGGAAGATCCTGTGTAACAAATTTACTTAGTTCCTATGACAGAACCACAGAGATTTAACAGGAAAGAGATGGTTGGGTTGACTGCATCTATCTGGACCTAAAAAAGGCTTCTGACAGAGTTCCACATATGAGGTTGTTCTGAAAACTGGAACATACTGGAGGAGGGACAGGTAGGCTTCTAACATAGATGAAAACTTTTCTGGCAGAAAAATGAGGGCAGTAATCAGAGGAAATATATCAGACTGGAGAAATGTCATGAGTGGAGTACTATATGGTTCAGTTCTTGAACTGGTAATGTTCATTGTCTACATAAACAACCTACCAGAAGGAATTCAGAATTAAGTGAACATGTTTGCTAATGACGCTAAGATACTAGGGAAGATAAGAAACATTGATGATTGCCATGCCCTTCAAGAAGACCTGGACAAAATAAGTGTATGGAGCACCACTTGGCAAATGAAATTTAATGTGAATAAATGCCATATTAGGGAATGTGGAATAGAAGAAAATAGACCACACACAACCTACAAATTATGTGTGAAGCATGAATAAGCTTTAAAAAAGTATGATAAAGAAAGAGGTCTAGAGGTGGTTCTAGATAGAAAACTATCACCTGAGGACCATATAAAGAACATTGCGTGAGGAGCCTATGATACGCTTTCCAATTTCAGAATTGCTTTTAAATACTGTACATGGATGGGAAAATACTAAAGAAATTGTTCACGACAATTGTGAGACCAAAGCTGGAATATGCAGTACTGTAGTTGTATGGTGCGTATATATTCAGAAGTACATCAAAAAACTGGAAAAGGTGCAAAGATATGCAACTAAATGGCTCCCAGAACTGAAAGACAAGAGCTACGAGGAGAGGTTAGAGGCATTAAATATGTCAAAACTAGAATATAGAGAAAGGGGCAATATGATCACTACATACAAAATAGTAATGGAAATTGACAAAATTGATAGGGAAGAATTCCTGAAACTTGGAAACTCATACATTCCAAGTCTCAGGAATCTGAGACTTAAATCTATGACCTCAAGAACATGAGGTCATCAATTTTAACTAACTAAACAAAGCTGCCGAAGATATGCAAGAAAATTCACTTTCGCAATCAGAGTGGTAGATGGTTGGAACAAGTTAAGAAAGAAGGTGGTAGGGGCCAAAACTGTCAGAAGTTTCAAAGCATTTTACGACAGTAAGTACTGGGAAGACGGGACACCACAAGCGTAGTTCTCATCCTGTAACTACACTTAGGTAATTACACACACTAACACTCCACACACCTACATATGCTCCCCACTCTCTGCCTCACACACACCTCAAATGTCAACTGCAGTGGACGTGTCAACTGTGCTCCTGAGCTCTGTGTGAGAAAGGATATCATGTATGGTGAAGGGATACTGTATTGAGTATTACATGAGAAATATATTGCAGTGAAATAAAAGTGAGGTGAAACATGTATAAATGGAAGTAAAAGCACTCAAGTACAGAAATTGTGTACAGAGGCAAGAAAACCTTGAAAATCATGCCTGTATAACAGCTCGCCTACTGGTGATTGGATGATCCTGTGCTTAGCAGAGCGAGACAAGGTAATTGGGATGCCTACTGGCTTAGTTAGTTTATTGCAATGACAAAATCAGGAAGGGTAACCAGATCAAGCTTGATCTGGGTTACCCCAGATCAAGCAGGGGTAAACTCATGATGAAAAGGATAATAGGTTTTAGAGGTGATAATGGAATGTGTGGAGAGGAGGGGTGATTGGATGGAAGATATGATCCTGGAATTTGAAAGGCAAATACCGCAACAAATGCAAGATGATATGGAATAACAAAGACAGGTCTGAGAGACTATTATATAAAAAAAAAAAAAAATCAGGAAGACGAAACAGTGGTATTGTGAAGACTAATAATAAACAGAAGCTCCCCTATGACTGTAATATCTCCATTGGTCAAACTATTATGTATTAGCAATAAGACTTACCATTAATATATAATGACTTACTGTAAATATATAGCTCTTGAAATAGCACTTTCTCTGTAACTAGCTGACATTGTAACTATAAGGAGTGAATGATAGATGAAATTGTTTATGTAATAATCTAAGATGAGGTCTGATAAAGACCTTCTGTG